TTCATCAGTGGTTTCTCTTTGCTGGGTGCTGGGTTGTGCCGTCGCCCACGGATGCAAGGAGGATTCTGTGGTGGAGTTTTACTTGGTATTCCCTGGCCTGTCTCCATTGCTGTCTCACTCGCCGCACATTATGCCCTCAGATTCAAAATAATAACACCTTCAGTTAATAACACCTTGAACTCAGGCAGCCGCTTTCATCCCAACGGGCTCAGGGCCCTCTACAAACATGACCTCATTCCTCCTGCCAGCACTCCCAGGACCCAGCCACACCCGCCTTCCCAGCCCTGTGGATCCAGCACTTCCACTTGGGTTGCCCGCACCTCAAGGCATAGTACAAGCAGAACTGTTGGTCTTCCTCTTCCCCACTGATCGCCTATGTCTGCTGCTGTGAATAGCTAACAGTCCGTGCGCTTGTGGGGTGAACAGTGGACATGGTGATTACAGACCCTCATCTTCCTTAAGAACTGAATGCAGGGCCTGGTACTGCAGCCTGGTGGCTAAAGTTCTCACCTTGCACACGCAGGGATCCCATATGGACACCAGTTCTAATCCCGGCAGCTCCACTTCCCATCCAGCTCCCTGCTTGTGGCCTGGGAAAGGAACTGAGGACAGCCAAAAGCCTTGGAACCCTGCACCTGCGTGGGAGACCCAGAAGAGGCTCCTGGCTTCAGCCAGGTGCAGCCCTGGCAGTTGTGGCCCCTTGGGGAGTGGATCGACGGACAGAAGATCGTCCTCTCTGTCTCTCCTCCTCTCTGTATATCTGACTTTGCAATAAAAATAAAGTAAAACATACAAACAAACAAAACTGAAACTTCTGAATTCCAAGGCTTGGGACTGGCATTGCAACTCAGTGGGTTAAGCCACCATCTGCAACGCCGGCTGGTTGAGTTCCTTTTGCTCTGTTTCTGATCCAAGTCCTTGCTAATGCACCTGGGAAGGCAGCAGAGGATGACCCAATTGCTTAGGACTCTATTCCCACATGAGAGACCCGGATGAGTGTCTTTGCTCCTGGCTTCAGCCAATGGGGAGTGAACCAGCAAATGGAAGATTTAAAAGAATAACAATAGAAAGTAATGATAAAGCACAATAAAGATGGAGGTGATTCTGGTGGACATTTTCCTACAGCCAGAAACGTCTGTGCTGGGATAGACCCTTCCTCCCTGGAGCCCCCTGGTGCCAGGACTTGCTTGTTTGGGAGCTGCTTGTGGCCCATTGTTCACTTGTGTTCTGCCCCCTGCCTGCAGGCGGGCAGCAGCGGAGTTGGGAGCCCTCCATATCCATGGGTTCCATCAATCATGGCCCCAAACTGCGTCTTCACCTGTGCGGAGCTCGCTCACTGGCGGTCCGTAGAGTAACCATTGACACAGCATTTCCGTTGCTTCAGGTGTAAGGAGGAACCCAGGGGCTCTGTACAGAAAACACTAGATGACAGGGACTGCAGAGTTGGGTGGCCTGGGTGTCCTGGAGCTCCCATGCCCTGAGGCCTCCGGGGTGTGGACCACGGCTCTGGTGCCCGTGTGCAGCGTTGGCAGGAAGGGGAGGGAAGCTGTGCAAGTCTCATTCAGAGAAACCTTCCTGGCAGGTGAAAAGCTGCCTTATCCGCTCCCTCATAAACACGACTAGCTAATCGGGAAGAGCTTGAGGTGGCGCCCGCCCGGGGCTGTTCTTCATCAGTGCATAAACACTGCCTCTAATCTCCTTATTTACACAGACTTCAAGCTTTCCCTGATGGAGAGTTGCATCCACTGCCAACAATGGGGAGAGAATGGTGGACGGCTGGCATCTTGCCAGCCTCCTCTTCCGTGGAATCTCCCCCAGTTAAAACACATCTGCCTGTTGCCCTCCAGGCCAAAACCTTGCTGGGTCATTCATTGCTCCCTGGGCACTGGCCAGATGGAGAGAGGGGTTCCCAGGCCCTTGTATTAGCATCCAACCTGCGCAATCTCAACAAGTTAAAAGGCAACTTAATGGCAATTAAATGCCTCATCCAAGAATAATGATAGAGACAGTGCAAAGACATTTTTCAAATACATATATTTGAAAAATATAATCTATACCTATATATTAATTTCATATAAAGAAGATATAATATACTTACATGTAATATATTATATGTACACATATAATATTCATTTAATATTTTAGAGACACACACATACACAGTCCGCCAATTCTACGGTTTGGTGACTCTGTAGGTACAAAGCATTGATAAGGCACACCGTCAGGGACACAGAGCGAGAACTGCTGCCTCCCTAACCGCTCCTTGCCCCGTCCCACTCTGCACAAACCCCCGGCTCATTTTACATCCTGCTGTCCTGAAAGTGGGAGCTCAGCACACACACACAAACAGGTTTGACTTCATTTTTTAGTCAAGATTTATCTGAAACAATGACAGGACAGGAGTAAGGGAAGACAGAGCTCTCTCTTTTTGGTTCACTCTCTAAATGGTCGTGACAGCCAGAGCTGGCCTGGCTGAAGCCAGGCGCCAGGAGCTTCTTGGGGTTTCCCACATGGGTGCAGAGGACCAAGCACCTGGGCATTCCCCTCTCTTCTCCCACCAAAAAACAAAAAGGGGAAAAAGTTTCTGGGGGATGGTAGGTTAGTTAGAAAAGTGTATGTGTTCCATTTAAGACTTTGGTATAGGACATTTTCCAGCTTAGGAAGCCACAAGTGTTCTCGGCCCATCGTGACACTGGTAAGTTGACTGTAAGTTTTGTGCTTCCAAGTGACTTGGTTTTAAAGAATTTCTTATTAACTTTGAAAGCTTGACTTTGATTTTGATCCTTTAGTCTTTCAATGTGTCAGGTGTACAAGATTGCCCTCCTTTTGAAGCGGTCTGTCTTGTCCCTGACCCTTCCTACTGAGTGGCCATGGACAAGGAAAAGGCCGCACGCTCTCTCTGGCTCCCCTCGGGGTCACAGCCTATGCTTCCTTTGCTCGTGTCCCACACTCCTCCCGCATCCTCTTGACTGCCGCCAATCCTTCCTCGGTTGGTTTATCTCTGCAGACACTGCCTATCCCGACGGTCTATCACTGTCTGCCTTTATAATGACGAGGCTAAATTATGCCCAAAGCTCACCCTGTCAGACATTTCCTAAGATCTGCAGAAAACACCACACAGCAATGCCATTTTAAGAGGTGTATTTTTCCTTCTCGTTTAGAATGTAAGCTCCGTAAGAGCAGGAACAATGTTTTCTGTAGGTTCTATTGTGCCTACTACACTGTAAATGCTTAATAAATATTATTATTACATTTAATTTAATGATACCGTTCCATAGGCTCTGAGGTTCCCTCAACCCCTCCCTGTACCTTCCCCCCGTGTTGGATTACTCCACCTTACTGCAGTATTACAGTTCAAATCCAGTCACGCTCCTTTCATTGCAAGCATGTACCATGCATAGAATCCAGCATGATGATGGGGCAAAAATGGTTTTTTCCATGGCTTTCTCAGGCGTATTTATCAGGAAACTGGATCAAAAGGAGAGCAGCCAGGATTCAAACCCCCAACCCCACTGCGTGCGATGCTGATGTCAAGGGTAGTGCCAACACGGCTGCAGAACAAACTTTTCTTTTCTTTCTTTTTTTTAAAGGTTTATTGATTTTTGTTGGAAAGGCAGATTTACAGAGAGAAGGAGCGACAGAAAGATCCTCTGTCCATTGATTCACTCCCTAAGTGGCCACAAAGACAGGAGTTGAGCCAATCTGATCCGAAGCCAGGAGCCAGGCACCTCTTCTGGGTCTCCCACACCAGTGCAAGTTCTCAAGACTTTGGGTTATCCTCCACTGCCTCCGCCCCAGGCCAAAGCAGGGAGCTGGAAGGGAACTGGAGCAGCGGGGACAGGAACCAGCACCCTTATGGAATCCTGGGCTGTTGCAAGGCAAGGATTTAGCCACTCGATCATCCCACCAGCCCTATAACAAATGGGTTTTAAGATGCTGGGCTTGGGGCCCGGCTTGGCAGCCTAGTAGCTAAGGTCCTCCCCTTGCATGTGCCAGAACCCCATATGGGCACTGTTTCTAACTCTGGCACCCCGCTTCCCATCCAGCTCCCTGCTTGTGGCCTGGGAAAGCAGTGCAGGATGGCCCAAAGCATGGGAGACCTGGAAGAGGCTCCTGGTGCCAGACAGGCTCAGCTCTAGCCGTTGCAGCCCCTTGGGGAGTGAATCAGCGAACAGATCTTCCTCTTTGTCTCTCCTCCTCTCTATATCTGGCTTTCCAACAAAAATAAAATGAACCTAAAAAAAAAAAAAAAAGGCTGGGCTTGGCAGCCAGGCCCGTGTGACAACACCCAGTGTTGTTTATTATTCTTTTTTCATGGTAAACATGGTGGGGGCAGTCCTTGGGGGTTCATGGACCGAAGCTTGCGGGCTGTCCCTGTGACACTTTCTGCACGCACATTCTATTTCAGTTAAAAGGTTTCCAAAAATTAAGTAGGGCTGCTTGAAAGTTATTTAAAAAGAAAATCAAATCCTAAAAATAAAAATTAGAAAAAAAAATGCACCCGGTTTTGGCTGGAGCAGCTGCAAACCTGTTTTCTATTTTGCTCACTCCGTGTTTCGAGATGACCACATCTTCGAGAGGAAATGAGTCAAACCCACTCCGTCTCGCTTTTCCAGCTCAGCGTGTTCCGTGTCAATGAAGTAATGAATGAACTTGGCCGCGAGGCGCCCGCCCTCCCCACACACACGGCAAACTGAGGGGCCTCCCGGCCTATCAGCACGCGCGGCCGCTGTTCAAGTTGAGTTCAAACGGGCCCACGGAGGGCCAATCAGCGCGCGGGGCTCCGCCCCCAAACCCAAACCAAGGCCAATCACGAGCCGTCAGGAGCCAAAACACAGCGACCGTCCAATCCTCGGCCGCCCCCACGGCGCTCCGGTTCCGCCAATGGGCGCGGCCGGGCGAAAAAAGGGAAACAGTGCGTCCCGGGCCGGCCGCGGGGCTCGCCTGGAACGTCCGTCCGGAGCCCGGCGCCGGCGGAGCGGCGCGCCGGCCAATCAGCGGCGGCGGCTCGCGGCCCGAACGTTGGGGCCGCCCGGCCCCGCCCCGCGCTGTTGTTTGTGGTGTCGGCGGGGCCGCGCGAGCCGGACCCACCACAACATTCGGCCGGCGGCGAGCGCGAGCCCAGTCAGGGGCGGCCGGCCGGGGTGGCCGGGCCTCGCGGGGCGCCATGTCGGTGAACATGGAAGAGCTGCGGCACCAGGTCATGATCAACCAGTTCGTGCTGGCCGCGGGTTGCGCGGCCGACCAGGCGAAGCAGCTGCTGCAGGCGGCCCACTGGCAGTTCGAGGTGCGTGAGGGGCGCACGGGGGGCGCCCCGGTGGGCATGGGGGGTCGCCCTTCGCCCCGGGGAGAGGGCTGAGGGCGGCCCGGGGGGCGCGGAGGAGCCGGGGCGGGGGTTGGCCCAGGCGGCCGGCTTCCTCCCCGGCCCCGGGGCGCGCTGACCGCCGCCGTGCTTGTCCGCAGACCGCCCTGAGCACGTTTTTCCAAGAAACCAACATTCCCAACAGTCACCACCACCATCAGATGGTAAGGGTCGGCGCGGAGCCGGGGGTCCCTGGCGGGGCGGGCCGGGGGGCGACCCCGGGGCAGCCTCCCGTCCCACCCCGGGAGGTGGGGCAGGGGCAGCGGGGGGCAGTGCCGGAGCCGGCGGGGGGCGCGGGCCGGGGGGCGCTGTCAGCCGCGGGCGGTGACAGCCATGTTGCCGGGAAGCGTCGCGCCGCGAATGTAAACAAAGAGCCAAAATGTCTTCCAGGAAAGAGCGGCTCCCGGGGGCCGGCGCCGGGCTCGCCCCAAGTTTGCGAGCCGCCCCCGCCTGCCCCTCTCGCGGCTGCTGGGTCTCAGCCTCAAGACCCCGGGGGCACCAACGCTGGCCCCTGGGCGACGGGGGGCGCTGAAGTTGGGGGGCAGTAGGAAGAGGAGACGAGGCCCGGGGGAAGGGGGAAGGGCACTCGGATGAGGACCCCTGAGCTGGGAGACGCCGCCCTCCCCCAGAAGGGCCCAGCCTGGGGCGGGACTTGGGGTGATTGTGTGTCTGTGGGGGGTGGCGGTGGTGGGGTCGCCGCCTGTCCACGACGCTGGGGCTGCAGGGAACGGGAAAGGGATAGGTTCACCCTGGCCAGAGCTGGAGTTAGGCCCGACACGCGAAGGTGCCCCGCTGCCCTGCTGAGCCTCAGGGGCGTGGGGGTGGCCCCCCTTCCCACCCCACCCCTGTCTCTTCCATCAGCCCCCCGGGGTTGCCCCTGTGGCTCTGGGGTGCTATCTTGGCTTTTCCTGCGCTCTCTGCCCTTGGTCAGGTCTCCTCCGGAGCAGAGGTGACACATGGCGCCTGGCTGCCCCGCTTTCACAGTCATGAAGCTGAGCCGGCAGGGTGGGGGTGCTGGGTGCACTCGGCACCCGCAGCTTTCCCCTTGTTTTGGCCGGGGCTGGGTGTGAGGGGAGCTGAAGTGGAAGGTGCTGTGGGGGCTGCAGAGCTGGTATCACTTTGGAAGACCAGGAGGGGGTCATCAGAGACCCCTGCCCCTGAACCTGGCTGTAGGACTCGAGACCTCCGGCTCCTTCCTGCCTGGCGGCCCAGGCCTGCTGCGGGGCCGTGAAGGAAGAGGGACTGCTGTCCCCTCCCGTCCCAGTGCACCTTCCTGGCCAGGCTGAGGGGCCCAGTCCTCCCCTGGGAGGCAGTGGGTTTGCACCATGGCAACCAAATGAAGCCACCTCCAAGGGCCGGGGTTTCTTTAAACAAAATAAAAGGAGAAAGTTAGGCAAGGACACTAGCGACCTTAAGCCAGTAACACCAGAAGGGTCCCGGGGCATGGTGAGTGAGTGGGTGTCCCCCCAGGTGGCTGAGTTCCCCCAGGGCTGGACTCGGGATGGGGTGGGTGGTGCAGGTGGTCAAGGCCCCTGCTCTTCCCACAGCAGAGGGAAGCTGTCCAGAGCCTGCAGCCTGCAGCCTGCGGTGCAGAGCTAGGTAGCTGCGGCCGGGTGAACTGGGGAAGTGGGTCACGATGCTGTGATGCAATTGGCCCCCGCCCCCCACCCCCATTCATTGTTTCCTGCTGCCAAGAAGTCAGCCCTGTGTGTGGAGGGTGTGTGTACAGGGACTACTGAAGGGAGGAGGGAAACTTCCGGGTGGGGCTGGCCCCACACCAAGGCCTTTGTCCCCTGGGAGGACAGTGGTCCGATCCCTGGGTGCTGAGCTGCCCCCTCCAGGTGTCCCCCCAGTGTCTGGAGTGTGTTTGGAGTGTGTGACAGTGCTCTACTAGGTGAATTGTTTGGGGGAGGGGACGGTGTTACTAAAATTAGGGGAGATCTACAGGATAACTCCCAGTGGCTTCCTGGGAAAGGCGGCAGCGCATTGAGGCCAAGCAGTTTGTGGGGGGGGGACTTGCGTGGGTGCTGTGCCTTCCCACTAGCTGGGTGCTCCGTTCCCCCCCCCCCCCCCCACTGTGGGCCATGTCAGGAGCCAGCCCTGGGAAGGGGACAGGGTACACTGAGGAACTGGGAGCCAGGGCTGGTGGCTGTGGTGGCAGGGAAGCAGTAGCCCTGGTGCTGGCTCTGGGAAGCCTGGAATCAGGTGCAGTGCGGCCTGGCAGAGGAATGGAACCTGGGGAGCCCTCATGCTTGCCTTGCGCCTGCACAGGTGTACCCTTGGCATCAGTTTCTCGTGGGTAAGGTCAAGGGAATCTTGAAGCCCACCGAGCCCCCCTTTTCCTCCAGAAGGCCCTTGAGTGCCGATGCTGAGGCCCCTGCAGCGCTCCTGGTACTGGCGAGGCAGTTGGATTTGGCTCATGTTTTTGGTTTTTTTGGGTCAGGATGGGGACTGGCCCTAAAGGCCAATTCGACCTGTGGGAGCCCCCTTTCTGGGAAGGGCTCCCCACATCCCCACACCTGTGCTCTCTGCCCACAGATGTGCACGCCCAGCAACACGCCTGCCACACCGCCCAACTTCCCTGACGCGCTGGCCATGTTCTCCAAGCTCCGCGCCTCGGACGGTCTGCAGAACGGCAACAGCCATACCGCCGTGGCCTGCTCCCCGCCTGCCAACTTCAGCCCCTTCTGGGCCTCCTCCCCGCCCAGCCACCAGGCGCCCTGGATCCCGCCCTCCTCCCCCACCGCCTTCCACGGCCTGCACTGCCCACAACCCACGTGGCCCCCTGGCGCCCCTCAGGCGGCCCCCCAGCAGAAAGCCATGGCGGCCATGGACGGCCAGAGATGAGACTGGAGGCCCAGGCGCTGGGCTGGAGCCGGGGGCAGTCCAGGGTTGTGGGGACATGAAGTGCCCGGGGTGGGGGGCACAGGGGAGGGGGGCTGGGTTTCCTGAAGATCGCACTGGAAGATTTTATAAAAAGATTTTTTTTGGGGGGGGGGACAGTAAACTTCTGGGCCACTTGGGTCCTTCAGGAGTTTTTCTTCGGGCAAGCTTTGTTCCTTTTTAATATAGAACTATAATATATATGGATCTATAAATAGAACTAATGTATGCGAGAACAGTGGGGGAAGGGGCCTTTCCTAGCACCAGGGGTGAGGGATCAGTGAACCGCACCTCCCCCACAGCACAGCCACAGCCCCAGGCAACATGTCCAGGGGTCTCCCTGCCTCTGCCTGGCTCCTGGTTGCTGGCAGTGTCCCTCCACGGCTCTGCAGCTCCATCACCGGCCTCCAGCTGGATGTGCATGTGGGGTTTGCAGGACTGAAGAGCCGGCTTGCGTGGAAAGCCAGAGCCTGCGTGACTGCCCCCTCCCCGCATTGTCCCATGCACACCTGCGCTGGGGATGTGGGCACGAAGACCATGCCTATGGGGTTTTTATTCCCAAATCAAAATCTCATCTCGCCAGGGTGGAATGTTAATTTAAAAACTTGTAAAAAAAAAAACAGAGACTTTTGTAACTTCCCCAGTCTGTGGTGCATTTATTTGCCTTGGTATGAAACCCCCCTCCTTCTGGGAAGGGGGAAGCGCTGGGGGGCTGCAGTACTGCCTGGACCACCAGAGTGTTGGTGATGAGGACGTTTATGCCTGAGGATGGGGTCTGGGCTGTCGCCATCCTTTCTGGAGCCATCTCCAAAGCTCTAATGCTAGGTCCCCGGTTTTCAGGGGTCAGATCAGGTTCCCACCTCCCCTTCCCCACAGCCCTGCAGGGTTGGGTGAGCGGGGAGGAGGAGCCACTTGGCCTGGCCGTGGGAGTGGGTGCGGGGCCACATGGCTGGGATTCCTCTGCCTTACACAATCATAGCCTCCTCTGTGGTCTGCAGGGACCTGTGACCCAAGCTGGAGCGGGAGGAGGTCGGGTCCCAGGGCCAAGTGAAACTTGAGAGGGTCCCAGCCCGGCAGCTGCCCCACTCTAATTCTGGGCCTTCTCACATTGCCTGTGGGGCAACCCCTGCATGGGAGGTGGAGGGGCAGGCTTCTTGGCGTGACGTGCCCCGCCCCATGCACTTAGGAGTTGGGTTTGTCCTTTCAGTTTTGTGTCCCCACTCCCGCCCCCGCTGGGAACCTCTGAGACTCCCTGGGGCCTCACCCTTGCTGGTACTACCTGTATCTTCCTGGGCTGGAAGGGGCTGCCCCTAGTGGGTGGCGTGGGCAAGCAGGTGCAGAGATGATGGGGGCTGGTTTGGTGAGTGCCCCTCCTGGCCCTTGTGTGGGTGAGGAGGGCTGGGTGGCCCCTCCTGCTGCTCTGCCCTGCCCTGCCCAGCTGGCAAATTTGGCTTTAGGTGCAGGGAAACTGAGCCTAGCATCTGACATTTCAGGGCCTGGGGTAGGACCCGGGTAAGAGAAACAGGAGCTGGGCTGGAGGAGGGGCTGGCCTTGCCTCTTGGCTTGCTAAAGGAAGGACCCGGGTATGGATACCCACCTGGCCGCCTCTTCCTGGGTTGCCACTGTAGGATCCCACAGCACAGTCAGGAGATCAAGACCGGCACAGGGCTATATCAGGCTAAGCCTCCGCCTGCAAGCACCAGCATCCTGTAAAGGCACCAGTTCACATCCCAGCTGTTCCACTTCCCATCCAGCTCCCCGCTTGTGGCCTAGGACAGCAATAGAGGATGGGCCCAAAGCCTTGGGACCCTGCAGCCATGTGGGAGACCTGGAAGAAGCTCTTAACTTCGGATCGGCCCACCTCCGTCTGGGGAGTGAATCAGCAAATGGAAGATCAGCCTCTCCTCTGTTAACTATACTTTTCAAATAAAAGCAAATGAAGAAATCTTTTTAAAAGTTCCTCCCATCCAAGTACTAACCAGGCCCGACCCTGCTTAGCTTCCGAGATCAGGCGCGTTCAGGGTGGTATGGCCATAGATGACAAACTAAAAAGTTCATTAGGTCTAGGGAGCTGCTCTTTGGCCACATCCTGTCAAAGGGGTGGGCCACACGTGCCCTGTAAGACAGCAAGGGCAGCCCACGCGCTGGGTTCCTGCTCTCCTCCAGGGAGCCCTCAAGGGAGCTCCGGATTCCTGGCTTCAGCCTGGCCCAGCATTTGGTTTATTTTACTGTTTTGTTGTTGTTTATTGGAAAGTCAGATATACAGAGAGGAGGAGAGACGGAAGATCTTCTGTTGATTCACTCCCAAAGCCGCCGCGATGGCCAGAGCTGAGCCGATCCCAAGCCAGGAGCCCAGAGGTGTGGGAGGTCTCCCACATGGGTGCTGGGTCCCAAGGCTTTGGGCGACAAACAGACTGCTTTCCCAGGCCACAAGCAGGGAGCTGGATGGGAAGTAAGGCCGCTGAGACATGAACTGGTGCCCATATGGGATCCCAGTGCGTGCAAGGCAAGGACGTTAGCCACTAGGCTACCATGCCAGGTCCTGGCTCAGCATTTGGTACATGAACCTGCGGATGGCAATTCTGTTTTCCTGGTTGCCTTTCTCAGAAGCCTTGTTTAGCTAAAGAAAAAAACCCCCGCAGAGGCATGGGGTCTTAGCTATCACCAGGGAGAAGGGGAACCCCCACCGCCGCCGGGAGCCTCCCCCACCCCACAGTGCCCCAGCCCCTGCCTCCCACCTACCTACAGCAGGCCAGGGGCTGTTTCCTTCCTGTGTGATTCTGTCGCCCCCTCGCCTCACACCCAAAGCAGCTTCTTGTCCCAGACGTCCCTTTCCCATGTCAAGAGGGGTGCAAACTGGGGGTGGGGAGACCCCCAACTCCTGCCTCCAGCACTTCCCTACTGCTGAGGAGGAAACCAGTGAGGACAAAGCTGAGCTCCCTGCCCCCACAAAAGTGCTGATGACTTCAGGGTTTCCCAGGCCTCAGGAAAGGAGGCTGCTCCCGGGAGAAGCACTAATCTGGCTGAGGCTGAGACACGGGCCATCGGGGAGCATGGAGCCGTTGGCAGTTCGGGGATCTGTTGGGTCACCATGTCTGGCCTGAGGCAGCTCCGCTGGCTTCACTGTCCCCTCCCACAATTTCCAGGTGTGGGGCTGGCATGCAGGTGAGCCAAAGGCGCAGGCAGGGCCTGGACCACCTGCAGGGCTGCGTCATGCACCACCCTCCATCCTGCTCCCTGCCCAGCTATGGCCCAGGGGACCCCTGCTCCCTAGGTCGCCTTGGGCTCCTGCTCTCCACTCCAAGCAAGCACCGGAGTGTGGCCATAGGAGCCTGCTGCAGGCAGCTGCCGGCCTCACCTCCAGGGTCCTGCTGGCACTGGGTCCCAGCCACCCAGGGAGACTGCTCTGTCCGTCTGCCTCACTGCCTGCTGGTGGTGGCCGCCTCCCACCAGATACTCCGCAGGGCCCCTGCTCCTTCTGAAGTATTTATTTATAGCTCTGCTCTGTGGGCAGGGGTGGAGCGTGGCCCACGCGTGGGCTCCTCGAGGCCCTCTCCTGGGGGCACATCTAGGTGCCTGTCCAGCGCCTGCAGGGTCGCCATGTCCGCTGAGCTGAGAGGCAGGAGCTCATTGGGCTCAGAGAGGCGGCCCTCGGAGGAGACGGGTCTGTCTTTCTGTTGTCGCAAAGAAACTGCAAAATGGTGGAGGGAGGAGGTGTCAGTTTTCTCTGCTTGGCTGTGCAGGCCCGCTGTGTCAGGGGGATCCCTTCAGCCCACCCCAAGACTCTGGGGAAGACAGGAGCCATGCCCAGGACTGGGAGGTGCAGGACTTGCTCTGCACACCCTGGAGCTGGCAGCTAGCTCCCTAGGCTCTTGGGCGAAGGAAACAGGCCACGAACTGGCACAGCTTCCACAGAGGCCAAGTGGCCACTGCTTCCCAGTGTGGGCGCAGGTACCGATGGGAACGCTCCCAAGACCGCAGTGGGCAGCTGTTTTCCCTGCCCAGCAGTTGCCCTGTGAGCGGGTAGTGGAGTGTCTGGGTGACCCGGGGCAAGCCCCGTAAGCAGTCTGTTTTCTCACAGCTATATAGGGCTCAGGACAGCCCCCTCAGTGAGTAGTGACTCAAACATTGGCCCCGAAGATTGATAAGACCCCCCACCATTTTGGACTTGGAAATATCTGCTTCCCTTAGCTCTTGGTTTCCTTAAGGTTCACACCCTTTAGGTTCAGATTTTGTTGTCCGCCAATCCGCTGTAACCTCACAACCCTGTTTTCTACCAGTTTTCTGTGACCTCATGATGCCGCACCTGACAGCACTGTCCATCATCCCTCCTGCCCGTGTTCCCAACGCCCCCGGCACAGGACAGGCTCCGTGCGTGTTGCTCTCGGCTCTCTCTCCCTTCCTTGGAGCCCCCTCCTGTCACTGAGGCAGGAGACCTCCCTCCCTTCCTTTGTCTGTCTTTCTCTTTTCCTTTGTCTCTCTCTGCCTTTGCTCCCTTCCTCATGGCCACCTCTTCCTGCACCAAAGACCTCCTGTGTGACTCGCTGCGTCCGGCGCTTTGGGTTTGTGGCAACAAGGTGAAAAGAGCTAAGCGCCTCCCTCTTAGGCATGGGAATTAAAGTTGGCACTAAGTAGCCAGTGTCGCATATGGGCGCTCCACTTCCCATCCAGCTCCCTGCTAATGCCCCTGGGACTGCAGTGGAGGAAGGCCCAAGTGCTTGCCTGCCACCTACATGGGAGCCAGGGATGGAGTTCTAGGTGCCAGGCTTTGGCCTGGCCCAGCCCCAACCATTTGGGAACTGAACCAGTGGATGGAAGATCAGTCTCTCCTTCTCTGTACCTCTGCCTTTCAAATAGATGAATTTTCAGGGAGAAAAAAAATTGGTCAAGGCCAGTACTGTAGTATAGCAAGTTAGGCCACTGCCTGCAGCACCACCAACATCCCATCTGGACACCCAGTTCGAGTCCCAGCTGCTCCGCTTCTGACCCAGCTCCCTGGCAATGTGTCTGGGAAAGAAGATGGCTCAAATTGTTGGGTCCCTGCACCTATGTGGGGGAAAACTAGAAGAAGCTCCTGGCTTCATCGTGTCCATTGTGGCCATTTGGGGAGTGAACCAAAAGATGGAAGACCTCTTTCTCTGTCTCTCTCTCTGTGATTCTGCCTTGTAAATAAATTTAAAAGAAAAAATAAGGGGAAAAAATGGTTCCTGAGTGTTGGGTTTCTGAACAGTGCGTGGTGGGTGAGGAGGCCTTGTTACAGGTGGGCTGCCCAAGGCTCCGCCCCTGCCTTGGTCACAGGCACCCCGAATGCTGGGACAAGACGGTGTTAGAGGCTCTGGGACACCCTGGAACCTCCTGCCAGTTTTTTCAGGGTGCTGTGGATGTGTCCTTAGGCAGGAGTGACTTTGGTGCATCTCATGGGGTGGGCTGGGGCGGGGCCTCAGTCTAAGGAGCTCTAAGCTGCGCTGTCTGGTGAGTGAAGGACATGGGCCAGGAGCGGGGCTAGATGAGCTCAGAGCCAGCTGCCTGGGTTCAGTCCTGCTCTGTGACCTAGCGGGGTCCCCAGGACCCTAGCTTGGGGCCCAGCAGCTACCCCAGGAGGCAGCATGTGTGGGCGGGGGAGCACACCCCTGCCCCCATTTCCTCCACTGTGAGCCCCACCCCCCACCCCCCACCCCCGTCCACCAGGGCCCCTTCCTCTCTTCCGGGAAACAGAATGTGAGGGCACCCAGGCAGGAAGGGGTGGCCCGGGGAGCGGGAAGGGGGAGGTGTGGTGTGCAGAAGGAAGCTACCTGGATTAGTGTCCACCAGCGTGTGTGCACTCTGAGGCCGGGACGGCGGCTGGCTGCTGTCGCTTGGAGACTGCTGCTGGTGCACGTGGGGCCGGGAGAGCTTAGGCTTGTGTCGGGATGACAGCCCTGCAGCGGGGGTGGAGGGGACAAGGGAGGAGCTGGGCTTGGGGGGCTGGTGGCAGGTGCACAGCAGTGCTTTTCTCTGGACGGAAGCACATCATTCATTCCCAGGTCCGCCCACCCACGTGTCCATCCTGACTCACAGCACTCCCTGGGGAGCTCTGCACATCAGCCCTGAAGCAGGTGCTGGCGGGGGCAGTCCTGCCCTGGGGTTTCCAGTCCCCAGTGGGGGAGGCTTCTGGCCAGATCAGGCTGTGCTGGGAAGTGGCTAAGACAGCTCCCTTTGGGGTCGGGGAACTGCAAGTGAGGCCTTCAGGGACCTGGGCAGTCCCCATGTTGGCGGGGGAAGGGGGTGCTGAATTTTGCTGAATTGGAGGGAGGGTGGGAGGGGCTCTGCCCCGGAGTCTGGGAGCCAAGGGGGCCAACACAGGCCAGCTGCCCTCACCTGCAGACATTCGGCCAGTGGTTTCTAGAGGGCTGGACATGTACAGTCAGGGATGCGGACCAGCACTCACCGTCCTTGGTCAGGATGCCTGGCAGCCTCGTGTCCATCCGTCCCTTGTATATGTGTCCATCCAAGCCCAAGATGTCCACCTCGTCATGCTGTCGAGGTGGGCATGTACCCGTCAACGTGGTCATGACTCACCCCTGGCGTCCAGCGGTCCCAGCACCCTCTCAGGGTCTCTGGGTGGCACCAGTACAGAGCAGCGAGGTAGAAGAGGATGAATGGCAGGACTGTGAGGGTCTGTGGTAGGTGGGTAGGGGTTGGCAGAGCAGGGCAGGCAGCTGGCCGGGGCTGTGTGCATGCTTACAGGCAGGACAGAAACTGAGGCTAGATGTGGGTCTGATTAAGAAAGTGCACTGGGACCAGTGCTGTGGCATAGTGAGTAATTCTGCCTCCTGCAGCATCACTATCCCATGTGGGTGCTGGTTCGAGTCCCGGCCCCTTCACTTCTAATCCAACTCCCTGCTGATGTGCCTGAGAAAACAGTGGAGTATGGCCTAAGGCCTTGGGCACCTGCACCCATGTGAGATACCCTGAAGAAGCTCCTGGCCCAGCCCTACCCATTGCAGCCATCTGGAGAGTAAACCAGCAGGTGAAAGATATCTCTCTCTCTGTGTAACTTTCAAATAAGTAAATAAATGTTTTTTTAAAAAAAGGGTGGGGGGAAAGTGTGTGTGGGGGGGCTGACTTCCAGAGTGACCTGGACACCTGAGGCCACTTCAGGCCCTTTCTGGGGGGGAGGCTGTGTGTAGGGGGGCGTTGGGGACTGACCTTCATGGTGATCTGGACCTCCTCCACAGGATACAGACCCTGCGACAGGTGTTGCAGGCGGGTGCGGCGGTAGGGGTAGGTGAGTGTGTGGCTGCCCCCACAGCGCCGGGGCACCGTGGAATAGGTATAATCAGCTATGTCCGGCATCCTGTGAGGAGGTAGCAAGGAGTCCCGGGCATGCATTGAGGCTGGGGTCAGCCAGAGGGCATTGGGGTGGCTCTCCAGGGGCCCTGGAAACCAGGGCAGGACACAGAGGTGACCAGTGGGTGAGGTGCTTACTTGCACGCTGTTCCTGGGGACCCTGCTTCCCCCGTGCTGCCCTGCCTACCGCTTGTAGCATGGGGAGCTGAGGCACTGGGCCTGCAGCAGCTCGCGGATCATCTGGCTGCTGGCCTTGGTGGAGCCAGCAAAGTGGATCTGCACCTTCTCAATGTCCAATAGCATCTTGGAGTGCATGGTGCGCAGGCGCCGCACGCTGCGTTCCATCTGTGACAGGTCCCCACGTGCGAAGGCACTGCCCAGCTTGAGGCTGTAGGGGGGTGGGGGTACAGAGAGGAGAGTCAGCTCGGAATAGGATGGAGCCCCCTGGGGGGGAACCCCACTGCTTTGCCTGGGTAAGCCTCATTAGGCAGGGTCCAGTCTGGGCCCAGCTGGCACTGGGAGAAGCCAAATGCAGAATGGGCCATCAGGATCCACTGAGCGGCTTGGCCTGAGGGGCTAGGTTTGTGGGGGGGGGGCAAGGGAGAGCTTTAGGCAAGGAGGGGGTACAGGTAAGTAAAGCATGGGGTGCCTGGCTCCTCCAGCCACACAGCATGAAGGAAGCCAGAGTGGAGGGCTGGAGTCCAGATGAGCTTTGAGCCTTCCTCTGCCAAGCTGCTCGCTGGCTGGGTTCACCTTACATAGCTAGGTGAAGCTGGCCCCACCCTTTCAGTGCCACAGCTGCTGGGACAGCTGGACATGGCCCAAGGAGAAGGGGAGAAAGAGGAGCTCCCAAAGTACCTGGGGCCCTGGGCACAGCGAGGTCACTGCAGCCGGTTATCACTGGATCTCCCTCTGAGGACCCCTACCCTGGAAATGGCCTAGAGATCAGTGTGGTGGGGGTGACTAAGCGGCTGCCTGTGACGCTGGCCTCTCTCATTGGAGCGCCAGCTCAAATCTTGGCTCCTTCATCTCCCATCCGGCTCCCTGTTGCTGATGTGCCCAGGGCACACAGCAGGTGATGGCCCAAGTGGTCAAGTCTCTGCCGTCCGTGTGGGGGGCTTGGATGGAATTTCTGTGGTCTGGCCTCAGCCCAGCTGTTGTGGGCATTTAAGTAGCAAACCAGCAAATAAAACTCTCTGCCTTCCAAAGCAATAACTCTCAAAGAAGAAGGAAGCTGGTTGGCGCCCATCTACTCTAGCAGGCCCTATGTGCTGTCCCTCACAACTCCCTCTGCTGTTGTGTCCTGCAGGGACTCCTGGGGCATCTTGCAGGGAGGAGATTTCACCCACCCAGTCCATGTGGAGCCCCACCCAAGACCTCCCGCTGTTTCGTACTTGCGGCCCTGCTGCCGAACCTGCTCCAGCTCAAACACTGTGTAGGGGCGGATGGAACGGTGGCCTGGCAGGCTGGGACCCACAGGTGTCACAGGGATCAACCTCAGTGGGGGCACAGTGAGAGAAGGAAGTCAGTGTAGGAGGGATCCAGCCCCGCAACGTTCCTCCGTCTAAGGCATCTGCTCAATGCCACCACCACCACCCCTAGCCCACCTGAGGAGGACCAGGACCAGAGAAGGACAGATGGGCAGCAGGCAGAGCGCTTGCACCCACCAGCTGGAGTGTGCAATGGATGGACACTCACTGTCCAGTCACAGGCGTCTCCAGGGGACGGTCGCACGAGAGGCAGTGGAAGTGTGCCAAGAGTTGCCTGTTCAGAATGGGTGAGGGTGAGAGCCACTGGAGGCGGTGGTGGGGCAGAGCTGGAGGTCCCTGAAGGCTGGCGGTATACCTGGGACTTGCTCCTCCCAGGCAGAGCATCCCACATCTGCTCATCCTATCCCAAAGCCTATGGGCTCCAGCCAGTAATCCCTGAGGGTGGTGCCCTGGGCGTGCTTTGGGGGGCCCCTGGCGGCCACTGGTGGAAATGCTGGCATTCAAGCCCACCACAGGCCAGCTCCTGGAGACCCCTTCCTGGCCTAGGGGTCAGTGTCACACAGCACAGCCCAGAGAGCCATGAACCTTCCCCAGGCCCCTCCTCGGAGGTACACATGTCGTGCAAGCCTTTTTCAGGGTCCCACACCTGGCCCCCACCTCCGCATGGCGGCTGCATCGTCCGCCTGGTAGAGCGGGGAACGCTCCTTGAGCTGCTGTCGCAGGGATTTCCAGCGGTCCTCCAGCAGCTGCTTCAGTGGATCCAGCTCCAGGCGGTCCAGCTACACAACGGTGGCATGGGGCAGGCGTGTGTGCCAGGTGAGCAGAAGGCATCAGGTGCGGTTCTGGGTCCCCCTCCCATTGCCCCGCCCCGCCTGCCTTGCTGTCCATCTCCATCAGGAGCCGGTCCAGCATCTTCTGCCAGTCCTGCTCCTGCCCGCTCATCTTGGCCACCAGCTCCTGCATCATGTGGTTCAGCTGCTCTGTGGTGGCATCGAACTGGACACGACTCACTTTGGCCGCCAGGGCGCTCTTGTCGGCTTTCTGCCAGGAGGGAGAGGAGGACGAGGCCAGATTTGAGCCAGAGCCCAGTGAGGGCGTTCGGGAGCCCCTCACCCCTCAGGCCTTGGGCAGGTGCAGCTGGCAACCCGCCTACCACGTCGATCTCCATCTCCAGGTGCTCCCGGTTGGCCTTTTCCTTCTCCAGCTTCTCCAGACCCTGGTACAACACCTGGTGGGGGCAGGAGCAGCAGGGAATAAAGAGCCGATTGGCTGTGCACTGAGCCAGGGCAGGGTGGGCAGGGCGGGCAGGGCGCCGTCCACGACTCACATCGATGTCCTTCTGCTTTTGCCGGTGGTCTTCGATGAGGTGGCTGGTGGTGACGTTGAGCTTCTCACAGTCCCCTTGCACCTGCAGGATGGCACTCTGCACATGGCCCAGCAGCTCTTCATCCTGTGGGGCAGAGCGCAGGTGGGGAAAAGCAGTCGGAGAGAGGCTCCTGGGCCACTTCCGGGACGTTGCCCCTGGAAACAGGCCTCTCCTGGAGCTTCTCAGCAGCCTTTGTCTCCCAAGAGGACACACGCACAGTCCTCCCCACCATCCCCAGGGACAGGCTGCAATGCTCTGTGGTGAGCGGCTGACCCCAATGGGGCTGTGGCTGTGGCTGGGAGGCCGTGGGAGAGGAGCTGGGCCTCACCTGGCTTTGGAGTTTGGCTTTCTTGGAGGGCCTGGAGGCGGCCAGGTTGTTGACCATGTCCTGCAGCTGCTCATAGCGCTGCACCAGCAGGCTGACCTGGTGGCTCAAGTCCAGGCTGCAGGCCGGACAGGTGGCCTCCGGGTTGATCTGGCCGGGCACCATGGCGACCGGAGCCTTGATGGAGGGCATGCTCATGGACAGCAGGGTGGAGGAGGAGGTCAGCATGCTCTCAATGATGGCACGGAGCTTGTCCAGCTGGGGCAGGGCGGAGGGGGCAGGAGAGACCACGTTCTGCCCACATGGGCACTGCCAGTGGCAGTTGGTGGGGGCAGCTAGGGGAGTAGGACTCTGCCTCTGCACTGTGGCCTCACGGACAGCCACCAGAGGGTGCTGAATCAGCCCCATGCGGGAGGGTGGCTTCTAGACCTTTCTCCAGCCAGCCCAGGGCCAGAGCAGATCCTGTGGTGAGATCCTCTCAAAGCAGTACTGTCCGCTGGTTAGCCTGTGCACACTCTGGGAAGGAGGGGAGCTGCGGGGGGTCCTGGGATGGGAAGGCTACCTCCCTCAGCACGGGCCAACCCACCAGAGAGCAAGGGTACTCATGCTTGCTGGCTGGCACTGTGACTCTCATGGGCCAGGCAGGGGCTAGTCTCTCTCAGGGGCCCCACTCGGCCTGCCCCTCCTGCTGGCTGTAGTGTACGCGCCATCACCACCTGTCCCAGTGGGCAGCTGATTCCAAGGAGGACATAGAAAGGACCGTACTGATGGCTACCCAGCTTCACAAACGGGCTCAAGGTCACCTTGTGTGCATGGAAAAGATGGCCCTTTCTATGTGAATTATTTAAGGGCAGGCCCCTTTCCTGGCCACTGGGAATGGACACACTTGGCCTCCAAGCTGGCTTTGTCCTGGGAGGGGCCTGCAATCAGGCAGAGTTGTCCTCCCCTTCCCCCACCCAGACACACACACTGCCAATCAGAGAGGAGACCTTGACCCTCACCTGTTCCTGCAGGTAGAAAGATGCTTCAGAGACAGAATTCTCCATGGTGGCCTTGCCCTGCACTTGGCTCTCCCGCAGCTCAGCCAGCTCCTTCTCAATGTCAGCCACGGTGACTCTGCCACGACGTGACAGGGGCCCCCCTGCCTGGTTCCACTGCAGCCCAGAGCTGTCCCAGTCCACCCACACAGAAGCCTGGCTAGCAGGGACCACCTCCCCCTTCCCCAGCAGACTCTTGTCTGGGGGACCCTGGGCAGACCAAGGGTCTGGGGAGCTCCTGAGCCTTGATAGTGTGTGGGACCCAACGGGGAATTTAGGCTGGCTCTTCTTGAGACAGGTCACTCCAGGACACAGGCCCTCCTGGGCCACGGGGTGCGTCTTACCTGAGGATGCCCAGCTGCAGGCCCAGCTGCCCACCTTTCAGCTCCTTCCCCGCCTCCAGCTCCCCGTCGCCCTCTACCATCTTCTGCAGCTTCTCCAGCTACAGACCCAGGGGAAGAAGAGGGGGCTCAGGCATCCCCCCAATTCCTGTCTCTAGCCCATGGCACAAGCCCTTCTGCTCATGGACTGTCCGTGTGTCCAGCATGCCTCCCTGCCCTTCGTTCCCCTACAGGTGGAGGCAGCCAGCATCAAGCGAATGACTGAAGGTCCAGCAGCCACTGGGCATGACCTCCGGCCCTGGAGGGGGACTGGCCGTGCAGAGTGGAAGGAGCGGAGTCCTTCCTGTTTGGCTCAGCCAAGTCTGAACGGCCTTGAACATCCAAGGTTAGATCCAGGAGATGACCAACGGTAAGGTGAGCCATGTGCATTTTCAGGGAGGTCGGCAAAGTCACATGGTGAGTGGGATCCAGCAGGGTGATGGTGTGAGGGACCTGCAGGGGTGTGAGGGACCTACAGGGGTGATGGCATGAGAAACCTAGAGTGGGAACACCGCTGCCCTCTATTTCTGCCCCAGTCTGCCCGGGGAGGTAAAGCGAACAGACTCCCTGGTTCTCACTTTTGCTTTTTCCTGCCGGAACTCTTTGGCCAAAATCTTCAGGTTCTTGAGTTGATCCTGCAGGTCTGGGGGCATGGTCTTTTTGACTGTGAGAAATCGGAAGCCTCAGCGTCAGGGGGCTCTGCGCCTCTGCCTCCAGACCCTACAGCCATGGGGCACCCCGCCCCCTCCCACCGCCACCCCCGCTCAGAGAAGGCAGCAAATACTGGGGCTGCGGGGAAAGGGGAGGATGGTGCCATGGCACAGTAGACTAAGCCTCTGTCTGCAAAGTAAGCACTTAATAGGATGCCAGCAGGAGTCCTGGCTGCTCCACTTCCCATCCAGCTCCCTGCTTATGGCCTGAGAAAGCAGAAGAGGGTGACTCTTGGGACCCTGCATCCATGTGGGAGATATGGAAGAAGCTCCTGGCTTTGGATCAGCTCAGCTCTGGCCACTACAGCCATTTGGGAAGTGATCCAGTGGATGGAAGATCTTTCTCCATGTGTCTCCCCTTCTCTCTGTGTACTCTGCCTTTCAAATAAAAATACTACACTTGGGCCCGGCGCCGTGGCGCATGTGGTTAAAGGTCCTTGCCTTGCACGCCCGGGATCCCATATGGGCGCCAGTTCTAATCCCGGCAGCCCCGCTTCCCTTCCAGCTCCCTGCCCGTGGCCCGGGAAGGCAGTCAAGGACGGCCCAAGGCTTTGGGACCCTGCACCCGCGTGGGAGACCCGGAAGAGGCTCCTGGCTTTGGATCGGCATAGTATCGGCCCGTTGTGCTCACTTGGGGAGTGAATCATCGGACGGAAGATCTTCCTCTCTCTCTCTCCTCTCTGTATATCCGCCTTTCCAATAGAAAAATAATAAAAATAAATCTTTAAAAAAAAATACTACACTTGATCTTAGCCAAAAGGCCAAGAAGTGATTCAAATAAATATAAATCTTTATAAAAAAAAGACTTATTTTTATTGGAAAGGTGGATATAAAGAGGAGGAGAGACAGAGAGGAAGATCTTCTGTCCAATAGTTCACTCCCCAAGTCCAATGGTTCATTCCCCAAGCGGCTGCAATGGCTGGAACTGAGCCAATCCTAAGTCAGGACCCAGGAGCTCTTCCAGGTCACCCACACAAATGCAGCGTCCCAAGGCTTTGGGCCGTCCTCTACTGCTTTTCCAGGTCACAGGCAAGGAGTTGGATGGGAAGCAGGGCACTAGGATTAGAACCAGTGCCCATATGGGATTCAAGGTGAGGAGTTTAACCACTACACTATTGTGCCGGGCCCTAATTATAAATATTTTTTAAAAACTCACTGCGTGGGCCTGGTGTGGTAGCCTAGCAGCTAAAGTCCTCACCTTGCATGCACCAAGATTCCATGTGGGCACCAATGCTTCTTTTTTTTTTAAGATTTATTTATTTTTATTACAAAGTCAGATATACAGAGAGGAAGAGAGACAGAGGAAGATCTTCCGTCTGATGATTCACTCACCAAGTAAGCGCAACGGCCGATGCTGTGCCAATCCGAAGCCAGGATCCAGGAACTTCTTCCAGGTCTCCCTCATGGATGCAGGATCCCAAAGTATTGGGCTGTCATCCACTGCTTTCCCAGGCCGCAAGCAGGGAGCTGGATGGGAAGTGGAGCTGCCAGGATTAGAACCGGCGTCCATATGATATCTGGGCGTGTTCAAGGTGAGGACTTTAGCCACTAGATCATGCCGCCGGGCCCAGTGGGCGCCAGTTGTAATCCCAGCAGCCCTGCTTCCCATCCAGCTCTCTGCCTGTGGCCTGGGAAAGCAGTCAAGGACGGCTTAAAACCTGGGACCCTGCACCCGTGTGGGAGACCGAGAAGAGTCTCCTGGCTCCTGGCTTTGGATTGGATCAGCTTCGGCCATTGTGGCCACTTGGGGAGTGAACCAGCGAGTAGATCTGTCTCTCCTTCATTATGTAAATCTGACTTTCCAATTAAAAATAAATAAATAAAACACACACACACACACACCCTCACTGCATTGTGGTGCTTTCGGGGAGACCAGGGAGAATGGGGGGAGGGAGAAAGGGCTGCCCTTAGCCTCTCTGTCAGCCCTGACGGCTTTGTCCCCTCAAGGGTTTGGGGGCCCTGGCCTGCCCCTTTCAACACCTCTGAGATCTGCCTTACTCCCTGGACTTGTGGCTGTGAATGAGCAAATGTAAAGTGCCCCACTTCAACGTTCTTGGTCCACCTGCCTGCTGTACTACCATTCCCCAACAAACCCCACTCTGCACCCCAAACCTCCCCTGGGCAAAGGTGCCAGGGTCCTGCTGCTGCACCCCATCTCGAGGCTCCATCCCTCCCACTGGTTGATTCCCCGCCCCCCGCTGTGCTCATTTGGACCCTCCCTTGAGCCCAGTTGGCACAGAGAAGGGGCGGCTGACTTCAGGCTGCCCGCAGGGAAAGCCCAGCAGCTAGGAGTTGAGACCAGGGCTGCAAAAGGAAGCCATTAACCGGCAGCCGGGGTGCCTCAGATGCAAGGGGTACCCACCCATCAGGGACAGCAGGTACTGTATCTTCTCCAGGTCTGACTTGCCAGTCTGCTCCTTGTCCAGGTCCTTCATGCTCTCCTTGAACTCCACGTAGAGGCCGATGAGCTCACCTACCAGCCGAAATGTTTCCACCGCCATGGGGAAGCTGGGCTCGACCCTGTCCAGGGAGTCGTGCCGCTCTCTGTGGATGTCACTCCTTTCCGATGAGGTCGTGTGGAGATAGCTGTGGGAGTCCTGCCCTGGGGGTGCCGCATGGAGCATGACTCTTGATTGGCCCGTGACGTGGATTCTGCTCGGGTCACGCCTGCGCTGATCCACACCCGAGTGGCCTGGGTCACGGTGAGCAGAATGCCTGGGACCCTCGTGGTCTGGGGGTGTGTATGTGGCAGCAGGTGGAGCGGTACCACCTGCTGCTGGCTGGTACTGCTCGTCTGGGCCTGAGGGTGCCAGACGTTCTTGCTCTGGGTGTGCAAACCCCAAGCCTGTGCTTCCTGGGGTCAGGCCATGCTGGTCTGTGCTGGGATGCACCAAACCTTGCCCATAAGTTCCTGGTGACACCCTTTGATACATACTTGGTGATGCTAAACCTTGACTGCCTACAAGTGATGGCGTGTGGCCATGCAGCTCTCTGCCACGGGGCGGCATACGATACTGATGATGATGTGGTGGCACAATCTGAAAGTTGCTCTGCAATTCGGGCAAGCCCTGACTCTCTGCGTGAGGTGCTCTCAGGCCTTGCCGATCGGCACCTGGCAGTCTCCAACTAGACTGTGCTAAACCATGTGGGTATGTACCATGTTGCATCAAAACATGCTGATCTGAGCCAGGTTGTGCCAAACCAGGGGGATAGGCACTAGGCCACACCCGCCCCTGCCGATCCATTCGAGGTTGCACCATACCAAGATGACCTGTACCTGGTACAAGCAAAGCTGGATCATCTGCACCAGCTTGCACCAAATGACGTTGATCCAACCCAGGTGGAACCAAGCCTTGTTCATCTGCACCAGGCTGCACTAAACCGCTTGCATCTGTACCAGCTTGCACCAAACTTTCCTCACCTGTGCCACTTTGCACCAAACCACTTTCATCTGCACCAGGTTGAACCAAGCCTTGTTCATCTGCACCAGGCTGCACTAAACTGCTTGCATCTGTACCAGCTTGCACCAAACTTTTCTCACCTGTGCCACTTTGCACCAAACCACTTTCATCTGCACCAGGGTGAATTAAACCATCCTGGGCTGCACCAGCTTGCAACAAATTGCTTGCATCTGCACCAGGTTGCGCCAAACCACGATGATCCACTCCAGGCTGCAACAGTCCTTGTGGGTACATACTGGACGGCACCAAACCAGGTGGATACATACCGGGTGACACCAAGCCACGTGGATACATCCCAGGTGGCCACAAACCATGTGGGTACATCCCAGACTGCGCCAAGTCACGCTGATCCACTCCAGGCTGTGATAAACCAGGTGAATACACACTAGGCTGTGCCAAACTACGCTGATCTTCTCCAGGCTGCGCCACACCAGGCTGGCCCACTGCAGACTGTGCCAAATCAGGCCAATCCACTCCAGGCTGCACCATGCCACGCTGATTCACTCCAGGCTGTGTCAAATCACGCTGATCTCCAGGCTGTACCAGACCATGTGGATAGATTCCAGGCTGCACTAAACCATGTGGATACATTCCAGGCTGTGCCAAACCATGTGGATACATCCCAGGCTGCGCCAAACTACGTGGATACATTCCAGGCTGCACCAAACCATGTGGATACATCCCAGGCTGCACCAAACCAGGCTGACCCACTGTAGATTGTGCCAAGTCAGGCTGATCCACTCCAGGCTGCACCAAACCAGGCTGATCTACTCCAGGCTGTGCCAAACCAAGCTGCGCCAAACCGGGCTGATCCACTCCAGGCTGCACCAAACCAGGCTGCGCCAAACCAGGCTGATCCACTCCAGGCTGCACCAAACCAGGCTGCGCCAAACCAGGCTGATCCACTCCAGGCTGCACCAAACCAGGCTGATCCACTCCAGCCTTTGCCAAATCATATGAATACATTCCAGGCACCAAACCACGTGGGTATATTCCAGGCTGCACCAAACCACGTGGGTACATTCCAGGTTGTGCCAAACTACGTGGATACATCCCATGCTGTGCCAAGCCAGGAAAATATGCATCAGGCTGTGCAAAGCCACGTTGATCCACTCCAAGCTGTGCCAAGCCACGCTGATCCACTCCAGGCTGTGCAAAGCCACGTTGATCCACTCCAGGCTGTGCCAAGCCACGCTGATCCACTCCAGGCTGTGCAAAGCCACGTTGATCCACTCCAGGCTGTGCCAAGCCACGCTGATCCACTCCAGGCTGTGCCAAGCCACGCTGATCCACTCCAGGCTGTGCCAAGCCACGCTGATCCACTCCAGGCTGTGCCATACCAGGCTGGCCCACTGCAGACTGTGCCAAATCAGACCGATCCACTCTAGGCTGTGCCAAGCCATGCCAATCCACTCCGGGCTCTCCAGGCTGCCCCAAGCCACGCCGATCCACTCCGGGCTCTCCAGGCTGCCCCAAGCCACGCCGATCCACTCCAGGCTGCGCCAAGCCACGCCGATCCACTCCGGGCTCTCCAGGCTGCCCCAAGCCACGCCGATCCACTCCAGGCTGCCCCAAGCCATGCCGATGCACTCCAGGCTGCGCCAAGCCACGCCGATCCACTCCAGGCTGCGCCAAGCCACGCTGATCCACTCCAGGCTGCCCCAAGCCACGCTGATCCACTCCAGGCTGCCCCAAGCCACGCCGATCCACTCCAGGCTGCGCCAAGCCACGCCGATCCACTCCAGGTTGTATGACCCCAGATATTTCCAGATTGGGCCGTACAAGAGTTTGCTGATCTGCGCTGGGTTGCATTAAGCCAGGTGACACTAAGCCATACTGATAGGGAAGAGGTGAGACAAAGCCATGTTGCTGCGGGCCAGCCCATACCAGGCCTTGCTGATCAGTGCCAAGCGGTGCAATGCCATTCTCATCCATGCCAGGCTGTACCATACGCCACTGGTCTGTGCCGGGAAGTGCCAACACAGGTTCATACATGTCATGTTGCTCCGTGCTAGGCAATTCCAGTGCTTGTTGGTCCCTGTCAGCTACTGAGGGTGGTATCACACCACGCTGATCCATGGCAGATGCTATCCTTGCCAGGTCATCCAAGTCAGGAGGCAGCTGACCCAGGTAGGGCACCATAGCACGTGGACGAACTCTGGTCTGTGCCAGTCCAGGTTGGTCCATGCCAGGTGTCGCTGGTCCATACTGATCTGGCCTTAGGTAGACTTGACCGTGGCTATAGGGCGCGGCACTATACTGAGGGTGATGTACGGGGGGCAGGTCCTGAGGTAGGGGGCCCAGCTGGGAACCTCGCTCAGCTCTCCTTGAATGTGTCTGGGAAAGCTGCTCCATGCCCCTGCGATGACCAGCCTCCACTGGGATCTGAGCTCCGGGAGATTGCTGGGACCTTGGTGTGCTGGCATCCTCACTGGTCCTTGGGTGCTGTTCTCTACCCAGGACACTGGTAGCAGGGAGGCCCCAGACTTGCTCCCTGCTAGTGACTCCTTCAGAGGGGTGTCCCGTGCCACTGGAGACTGAGCCGGTCTTAGCTGGGCCGAACCCCCTGGCGGGATCCAAGGCCTGCTCAGTGCTCAGCTGCCTGGGGGAGGCTCCGCTTGGAATCACGTCACTGGTCGTTATGGACGACAGCCTTCTGCGCTTGGCAAGTTCCATCAGCGTTTCTGAGCCCTGGAAGGAGATCGGTGACTTGGGTCAGACACACTCACCATGGGGGTTGGCAGGATGAGCTAGGACTGTTGACAGGAAAAGGAAGAGAACCCCTCTAGTCCTGAAAGCTGAGCTGAACAGACGGGCACTTCTCAGGGAGAGTCTCCCCAATTTTGGAGACTGGTACATATGCAAAATGCACCTCAACAGTCATTTCATTCAAAATGAGGAAAAACAGAAAGAAACACAAACTATTCCCCTAGGCTAAGTCCAAAGTCTTTCTGGCTGCCTCACTTGTCTCCCACCATGCCACCTTCCAGCACGAGAGAGAGAGAGAGAGAGAGAGAGAGAGGGAGAAACTTCTACCCACCCACTGGCCTACTCCCCCAAAAAGCTGCAATGGCCAGGGTGAAGCCAGGAGCTGGGAGTTCCATCTGGGTTACCCACAGCGGTGGCAAACGCTCAGGTGCTGGGGCCGTCCTCCACTGCTTTCCCAGGCACATCAGCAGGGAGCTGGGTTGGAAGCAGAGCAGCTGGGACATTAACTGAGTGCCCAGTGCGATGCTGCCATTGCAAGGGGTAACTTAACCTATGGTAACACATCAGCCCCTAGAAATTCTAGAACTAAAAATTAGAATAAAACTGAGTGGAGGGCTCGGCGACATGGCCTAGCAGCTAAAGTCCTTGCCTTGAACACGCCCAGGATCCCATATGGACGCCGGTTCTAATCCTGGCAGCTCCACTTCCCATCCAGCTCCCTGCTTGCGGCCTGGGAAACCAGTTGAGGACGGCCAAAAGCCTTGGGACCCTGCACCCGTGTGGGAGACCTGGAAGAAGTTCCTGGATCTTGGCTTCGGATCGACATAGCATTGGCCGTTGTACTCACTTGGGGAGTGAATCATCGGACGGAAGATCTTCCTCTCTGTCTCTCCTCCTCTCTGTATATCTGACTTTGTAATAAAAATAAATAAATCTTTTTTTTTAAAAAAAGAGTTCATCCTGGGAGGGGATTTGAGGTGGGGCTTAGGGAAATCCTGAGACCTACGGAACTGTATCATAAAATAATAATAATAATTTAAAAATGAAAGCATATAATAAAAAGCAACAACTGACACACAATTAAAAAAAAAATTCATCCTGTTTGCGAGATGGCATAACGTTACGTGAAGGCAGATGTGGCGGGTGAAATGGGTAGCTTGCCAATCATCAGAAGAGCCAAGGTTCACACAGTCCAAGGAAGTAGAACAAGGGGACGGTGGCCCGAGCACGGACGGGGTGAACAGTAGACAGGTGACAGGAGGCAGACTCGAGTGACCACATGAGATGGAATTGGTCTCAGCAGCCTGATGGGGTGGGTGCGGTACAGCAAGCTAAGCCGCTGCCTGAGTCCCCTCCTGCAGGGTCCATTCCATCCTGCCTGTGCCGTGCTTCCACTTCAGCTTCCTGCTAGTGCACGTCACAGGCAGAGAGGACAGCCAAGTGCCGGGGCCTCTGGCTGGGGCTCCTGGCTCCTGGCTTTCACCCGGGCCAGCCGCAGCTGTGGCAGACATTTGGAAAGTGAGCCAGCAGATGGAAGATCTCTCCCTCTCTTTGCTGTTCTACCTTTCAAATAAATTCTTAAAAAAAAAAAAAAAGTGGAGATTGTTAGATTGCGTAGAATATGCTCCTTACAAGAGATCTATTTTAGGGACCAGCATTGTTTAAGTCACCTCCTGCAATGCAGGCTGACCGTGTGGATGTGGGTTCAAGTCCTGGCTGCTCCACTTTAAGATCCAACTACCTGCTAATGCACCTGGGAAAGCAATAGAAGATGGCCCAAGTCCCTTGACTCCCGCACTCATATGGGAGACCCAGAAGAAGTTTCTGGCTCCTGGCTTTGGCCTAGTCCAGCCTCAGCCATTGTGGCCATTTGGGAAAATAAATTAGCAGATGAAAAATGTCTACCCGCCCCCCTCTGGAACTCTGCGTTTCAAATCAATAAATTTATTTATTTTTTAAAGATATTTACTTTTTAAAAATTTTTAATTGGAAAGGCAGATATACAGAGATGAGGAGAGACAGAGAGGAAGATCTTCCATCTGATGATTCACTCCCCAAGTGAGCACAATGGCCAGTGCTGCTCCAATCCCAAGCCAGGAGCCAGAAACCTCCATCAGGTCTCCCATGCGGGCGCAGGGTGCCAAGGCTTTGGGCCATCCTCGACTGCTTTCCCAGACCACAAGAAGGGAGCTGGATGGGAAGCAGGGCTGTCGGGATTAGAATCGACGCCCATATGAGATCCTGGGCGTGTTCAAGGCGAGGACTTTAACCACTACGTTATTGTGCCGGGCCCTCAAATCAATACATTTTAAAAACCACATATTTTTGGCCTGGCGGCGTGGCCTAGCAGCTAAAGTCCTCGCCTTGAATGCACCGGGATCCCATATGGGCACCGGTTCTAATCCTGGCAGCTCCACTTCCCATCCAGCTCCCTGCTTGCGGCCTGGGAAATCAGTCGAGGACAGCCCAAAGCCATGGGACCCTGCACCTGTGTGGGAGACCTGGAAGAAGTTCCTGGCTCCTGGCTTCGGATCGGCATAGCATTGGCCGTTGCGCTCGCTTGGGGAGTGAATCATCAGACGGAAGATTTTCCTCTCTGTCTCTCCTCCTCTCTGTATCTCTGACTTTCCAATAAATAAACCAATTTTTTTAAAAAATAAAAACCACATATTTTATACTTACATAGAGAAACAATGGTGCAAATCAAACAGAATGGAAACAGACATGATTGCTAACACCTCTAAGGGAAAAAAAAGTGGGAATAGCAATACTGATATTGAATGAAACATTTCAAAACTGAGGTTACACTGTTATGCCTAGGGTTAAAAAAAAAAAGGAAATAAGAACTCTAAAGTGTGGAGAGACTATATCCTTTAAAAATATATATATTTATTTTATTTTTTATTGGAAAGGCGGATATACAGAGAGGAGGAGAGACAGAGAGGAAGATCTTCCGTTGATGCTTCACTCCCCAAGTGAGCGCAGCGGCCGGAGCTGAGCCAATCCCAAGGTAGGAGCTCTTCTGGGTCTCCCACACAGGTGCAGGGTCCCATGGCTTTGGGCCGTCCTTGACTGATTTCCCAGGCCACAGGCAGGGAGCTGGATGGGAAGCAGGGCCGCCGGGATTAGAACTGGCGACCGTATGGGATCCTGGGCGCGTTCAACGCTATCGTGCCGGGCCCGACTATATCCATTTTTAAAGGACTCTTATTGAAAGGCAGATTGGCAGAGAAAGAATCCTCCATCCAGAGGCTCACTCCCCAAATGGCTGCAATGGTCCGAAGCCAGGAGCCAGGAGCTTCATCCAGGCCTCCCCTGTGGGTGCAGGGACGCAAGCGCTGGGACCACCATCTGCTGTCTTCCAAGGTGCGTTAGCAGAAGCTGGATGTTTGCACTGGAGCCAGGGGCCATTCAATGCAGACTGGGGGACCATCCTGAGGGGCAGCTTCCCCCTAAACCGTTCTTACTCAAGATGCAGCCTCAGATGATGATGATCTTATCTGCCCTGAGCAGCACACGTGGCTGCAGCTCACCAGCTCCCCTCGCAGCCCCTCTGGCAGGTAGCAGAGGGCATCACACTGCCTGGAGGGTATGTCCCCCAGACACTGGCCAGCCAGCCCCCTAAGGACTGCCCGATGCCAGGGAGAACTTGACATCCACAGCATCTGACTCCCTTCCCGTCATCCTTGCCTGGGTCGGCGCACAGTACCTCCCTCTGAGGTCAGAGGCTGCCCCAGGGACTGCCCCAAAGCCCTCAGCAGCAGCACCACTATTCCGTAACAGGTGCTACTACACACATAACAACTCAGGGTTCCTGCGGGCAACAGGCCAGATCCACAGTGACCGGCCTTATCCCAGGGGACTTCACGCAGGACGCCAGCTGTCCGAACAAGCTGCTGCCATCTCCCAGCTCGTCTGAGGCGCTGCCGGAGCTTGGTTCCTCATGGCTGTAGGACTGACATGTCTGCATGCTTGCTGCTGGCTGGGGGTCTCCCTCAGTAACCGCACTGCAGGAGTCTGCTCATGCTCCTCTCGCCAGCTGTCTCCTCCTGATTAGGCCAGGCCCACCCAGCACGCCTGCCATTAGATGAATCCAAAGTGAACTCCTTGGCAACGGAAGGGCTCATTAACAATTCAGCTGACCTGAGTGGTCTGTCGGTTGTGAACTGCGTTAAGGGGAATGAGGACACAGTGTGTGTCTTGCAAGGTTATGGGAGCCAATGGTTCCAAACTCGGCTTCGAAGGACATCACCGTTCACGCGTCAGGAGGTCGGAAATCCCGAACCAGCTTCAACTGGACAAATGGTCAAGGGAGTGTTGGTGGGGGTGGAGCCTTCCAGAAGATCCATTCCCGGGTCCTGTTTCAGCTTCTGGCATCGCTGGCGTTCCTCAGCTTTGGCCATGGTGTCCTCTGTGCCTCTGGAGTGAGATCTCCTGCTTCCTTGTAATGACCTGTGGGCTGCGTCACGCGTCCACTCAGGCTGCCATGGAATCCACGCGGGTCACCAAGGGATCCACTTGGGTCATCACAGGTACACTCGGGCCATCATGGTTCCACTCGGGCTGTCACGGTTCCACTCGGGGTATCATGGAATCCACGCGGGTCACCAAGGGATCCACTTGGGTCACCATGCGATCCACTCTGGCCATCATGGTTCCACTTGGACAGTCTTCCCACCTCAACCCCATCTTCATAGCCCCTTGGCTATGAAGCAGTTATGACTTTTTTTTTTTAAAGATTTATTTATTTATTTTTTTTATCGGGAAGGCGGATATACAGAGAGGAGAAACAGAGGAAGATTTTCCGTCCGATGATTCACTCCCCAAGTGAGCGCAACGGTCGATACTATGCCGATCCGAAGCCAGGAGCCTCTTCCGGGTCTCCCATGCGGGTGCAGGGTCCCAAAACTTTGGGCCATCCTCGACTGCTTTCCCTGGCCACAGGCAGGGAGCTGGAAGGGAAGCGGGGCTGCCGGGATAGAACCGGCGCCCATATGGGATCCTGGGCGTGCAAGGCAAGGACCTTAACCACTGCGCCACCGCGCTGGGCCCAGCAGTTATGACTTTTATGAAGGGCCCCATGACTTTCCTGGCAGCTGGGGCCAGGATGAGGGTGTCTGTGGGGCTGTGTTCCAGCCTACCACGGTGGCCGGGCAGCAAAGAACAACATGTGTCACTCTTCAGCACAAGGGGACGTGGAAGTAGAGAGGGCGCGAGTTGAAACTCAAACACAAACCCCACTGATGCTCCACCGCATTGAGCTCCCGGATGTCTAGCTACCCACGACTCACTGCCCCCTTCCTGGGGCTGAGAAAGGAAATCAGGGTCGCAGTCACTATGTGAAATGCTGCTCATAGCTCCCGGAGCCAGGCGTGCTGGAGTCAGGGGAGGGTGGGCAGGTCAGGTACTCCTTGGGACGACCTCGCACATCCGCACCCCTTCCGAGGTCATCCTGCAACATGCCCAGACCATGTCCCTCTATGATGGCCATGCTGAGGTGCTCCAACAGTCAGGAAGCACTGAGCATGCCCACATCCGGGCATCGGAGACAGAGACGCATTAGGGCCAATGGCTGCATGCCAAGGTAGGGCATGTCGCTTCGGTCCCCGCCTCACTGTGCCCCTGCTGGATTCTGGTCTCCACTGGGAGATGGCCAGCTTGGGAATGGCAGAACTGAGCAAGGGGCTCCAAGAGGCCTGACCTGCTCGTCAGCTGAGGAAGGCATCCAGGGCTTCGGTGTTGTGATGGAACAAGTTAGGCCGCTGCAGGGCGTGCCAGTGTCCCATTATCAGTGGCTCTGCTTCTGATCCAGCTTCCTGCTTGCTGATGCATCCCGTGAAGGCTGCAGCAATGGCACAAGTCCTCGGGTCCCTGCCACCCATGCCGGAAATCGGGTTGACTTCCAGCTGGCCCAGCCTTGGGGTGATCCAGTGCAGGCAGGATCTCTCGGCTCTCTCTCTCTGTGTCACTTGAACACTCAGTAGATGGAAATGAGTGAATTCGCGTTTCCGTTTGTATTTTTTTTAATAAGAGAGATGTATCAGGCATCACACACACCCTACTTCTTGCTTCAGAAATCCTAACTCCAGCCACAGCTGGACTCAGAGTGTCCCCAAGTTCACCTCACAACACACAGCTCAGCTCAGCTGATACACACGGTCCTGGCTTTGTACAAGAGCTCTGGGAACAGCGCCGGCTGCCGTGCCCTCGGCAGGCTGTGCCCTGGTGCTCTCTGGGAGCCCTGAGAGGACTCCGGACCCCTCCCTCCGTGTTGCTTCCTCCTTCGGGCCAAAGACTCCGCAGGGGAATGCCTTTGATCATGGCTGGGCGTTGTTTCTGCAGCAGAGCAATCTGTCTACAAGCTCATGGACCCCCAGCAGCCCGTGGCCCCCCAGCAGCCCTCGGCCCCCCAGTAGCCCTCGGCCCCCCAGCAGCCCTCAGCCCCCCAGCAGCCCGCGGCTCCCCAGCAGCCCGCGGCTCCCCAGCAGCCCTCGATCCCCCAGTAGCCCTCGGCGTCCCCCAGCAGCCCTCGGCCCCCCAGCAGCCCGCGGCCCACCAGCAGCCCTCAGTGTCCCCCAGCAGCCCTCACGGGAGGGTGGGGAGGAGTCATTCCGCACCAGGCCTGTCGCAGCTGACCCCGCCAACACCCAGGGTCACTGTCACAGGACACTGAGGACGGCATGATGGGGTCATGACCTGAGCTCGGAGTGGGGTCTCCTGGGGGAGCCCTTTGGCTGCTCTCTTGTTCTATCTTGCGGGGGAGAAGAAGGAGGGAGGAGCAGGAAGAAGCCAGCAGGCACTTGGGAAGGAACTGAGGCTGATGTTAGGTCACCAGTGTTATGTCACAGCAGGGTGACTTAGCGATGGGGCATTGCTAGGGTTGGGAAGGTGCTTCTACCCTGCAGTACCAGTGTCCCCATGTGGACACCAATTCATGTCCCAGCTGCTCCACTTCTGATCCAGCTCCCTGCTTAGGGCCTAAGAAAGCAACAGAGGATGGCTCAAGTCCTTGGAACCCTGCACCCATGTGGGAGACCCCGAGGAGATTCCTGGCTCCTGGTTCCTAGCTTTGGATCAGCTCAGCTCTGGCCATTGCTGTCATTTGGGGGCGAACCAATGGATCAAAAACCTTCTCTGTCTCTCTTTCTCTCTATAATTCTGCCTTTTAAGTAAATAATAATAATAAATATTTTTTAAGTGTGGCAAAACAGGTTTTTGATGTTCTCACCACAAAGAAGGGATTCACTTTTGAGGTGACAGGTGATTCTGATGGCTACGCCCCGGATCGGGACAACCCACACACCAGCTCACGTAGGGAGACATCACACAGCACACGGGCAGCATGGACGTGGACCTGTGTGTCAGGCAGGACTTCTAAAAAACTTCTGACTCCATTTTTACATTGGGGCACCAGCCACCCTGCAGCCAGGTAAAGCTGGACCCAGGTGGGCAGCCCGGGCCCTGCAGGGGCCCATGGGACCCCCACCACTTGCAGGATCGCTGCATGATTCTTACATGATTACGCACTACCCTTGTGTCCAGTGGCTGGGTCTCTCAACACCAGCGCTTGTTCATGTGTGCCTCACAAACTTTTGATTCCCGTTTGCTCTGAGAGTTACTCGTGTTTCTGAGCAGCAGCCGCGGCACGCGACCTCTGTCAACCTTGGGAGAAGTACAACTGTGCTGATTCCTAAAGGCAGAGCAGCAGCAGCAGCAAGAAGAGAGCAGCTCTGGCTTAAAACAGCATGGAGGTCGGGGCCCGGCACGGTGGCACAGTGGTTAAGGTCCTCGCCTTGCACGCCCAGGATCCCATATGGGCGCCGGTTCTAATCCCGGCAGCCCCGCTTCCCTTCCAGCTCCCTGCCTGTGACCTGGCAAAGCAGTTGAGGACGACCCAAAGTTTTGGGACCCTGCACCCGCGTGGGAGACCCAGAAGAGGCTCCTGGCTACGGATCGGCATAGTATCGACCGTCGCGCTCACTTGGGGAGTGAATCATCGGATGGAAGATCTTCCTCTCTGTCTCTCCTCTCTGTATATCTACCTTTCCAATAAAAAAAATAATAATAAAAATAAATCTTTAAAAAAAACAGCATGGAGGTCACCTTCTGCCCACTCACAGACTCTGTCCCATGGGGGACAACTGTTGGCACACCCCCAAATGGCCACCTGGGGGCGCCAAGAGGCCCACTCTTGAGGGCCTACATAGGGGTGATGCCCCAGGGCTGCCTGCCCTGGCCTTGCAATGGCCCTCTGGCCTCGCACCATTTCAGGTTAGATACAAAGGGATGCACCCAGCTCATGGGCAAGGCTCAAATACGAGCTCCCGGGGTCCAGAGTCAGGTGACAGGACCAGGGGTGTCCTGGGCCACTGGTGGGATCCTGCATGGGAATGTCGCCAATGGAGGGCAAACCAGTCACTGCCAGCCACACCCCAAAGACACCGTGTGTGTCTCCTGTCCACACACGTGTGAGTGTGTGCCATGTGTGTGCCTGTCAGCTCAGGGGCAACTGTCACCGGTTTGGGGCAGGGAGGCCACTGGAAGGACCTGCAACGAGAGCTGGTGAACGGGTCGTGGCCAGTCCCACCCAGGCCCGTGGCCCAAGGTCCTTACGTTCACCCCTTGAGTGGTCCGCCAGCCGTCAGTGATGGCCTGCTCCAGCTCCTCCCAGGTGACCATGGTGACCTCCTCCCCGCCCGGAAGGATGCTCAGCTTCTGGCCCACCAGCTCCTGACAACAACAAGGCCCACAGCCGGGAATCAATCTCCTGAAGCGTGGGAACAACCCCAGGTCAACAGGGTCCTCCACAGGCCCAGAGAGGCTTGGCTAGCCGGCTCTCCGTTGAGAACACAGCTGCCCTCCCACACAGAAGGCAGTGTGGGCAATTCCAGAAGAGGCTGGGCCCCCACCCCCACCATCACATGCCGCCCTCTCCCACAGAACTGGCTGACATTACCAGAAACTCATTCCGATCTCTCATTAGGGTCTCCATCTCTTCAATTCGCTGCAGGATTTCCTGGAAGAAGTGTCCAAAGTCAGGGCAACATTCTCCAGCACCTCACACAGCAGCCCCCTCCCTACCGCTGAACACTCCACATGCAGGAGAGAGGGGCCAGAGGCCTGGGTGGGTCCAGGGCCTGACCTGGCCAGGAGAATCAGGCTGCCCAACCTACCCCGGGCAAAAGTGTCATGCCAAGGGTGAGTTACTACTGGGCGGAGGCAGGGGAGGCGGAGACCAAGGGGCTGGGACTCATCCCATTCCACAGACGGTGGGGGGCAGCCCCCAAAGCATCAGATGTCTGCAGAGGGCAGAGTGCCTTGGGGCAGCACACGGAATCCCAACTGCAGCAGCTGTAGGTGGCTCAGGACAATTGGAAGTGAACACTCAGCCCACTCTGGCCATGTGGGCTGCTCCAGGTCTAGGCCCTCAAAACTTACAGAGGCTGGCTGTTCATGGGGCTGGGTGCCAGGATGGACCTGTCCCTCCAGGGGGCCCCACCCCACCCCACCTCCTTGGCTCTCAGCACCCCCACCCGACTTGTTGATTTCTCTACCCCTGGGGATTCACTCTGAGAAAGTTGGAGGTGCTACTGCCCTCAGGGTCTGGGTGGATCCTTGGGCCAGGTCTGGTGAGCAGGGGCGAACCCCCCTTGGAACAGCAGGGAGGGTCCCCATGGTGCCCTCACCTGGGGCTTCAGGGCAGGGAGCTCCTGAAGCTTCTGCTGGGCTTCCTTCAGGGTTTTCACCTCCTCCACTAGGTTCTGCAGCAGTCCCATGGCCTGCAGGGCAGATCACCAGGGCAGACCCCGTCCACTCTGCTCCTCCTCCACCCCTTCCTCCTGCGGGGCTCCAGCCCCCGGGCGGCTCACCTTGGCAGGGATGACCTCGCTGCCCTTCAGTGCCTTCGAGGGCTGCTTCTGGGTCTTCTCAGGGACCAGTGTGAGAGCACTCCTCTCCTCCGGCCACTGCAGCACCGGCAGGTTGAGGCCACTGGTCTGGGAGGAGAGGCGCTTCACGTGGGAGGCGATGTCCTGCACCTTGTTGTCCATGGTCTGGAGCTGCACGCTGAGGTCCTGCACCTGCCCGCCCAGGTCCCTCACCTGGCTCTCCAGGGCCGGCACCTGCAAGTGGCCCACACTGCGACGCTTCTCTTTGGGCGCCAAAACCTCAGCAGGCAGTTGGGGGGCGCTGTGGGAGGACCGGGCAGGCTCCAGGAAGCGGCTGGGTTCGGTCGCCACCGACTGGAAGTCGACATAGGTGTTCTGCAGGTTGAGGTGTTTGAGCATGGCCACCACGAGTGTGTGCAGGGCCGTGAAGTTGACTGCACCCACCTCCGGGGTGCCGATGGCCAGGTCGGCCAGCTCCCGCAGGGTTACCTTGACTGCCGATGTCGCGGGTGGCATCCTGCGCCCCCCTGCTCCGTCCCCTCACCGCGCCTCTGGGGACCCTTAGGCGTCCCTTGTGCCTGCGGCCAGCCCCGCTGGGCGACGGTCAAGTGGAGCAGGCCGGCTCTCTAACTAGCCCCGGACTCTCGGGTGCGTCTCGCGGCTGGTGGACGTTTGGAATGAGGGCGGACCCCACCGGGCGCGCGCATTTCCACCCAAGAATGTGCCCTGCGTTTTGGCGAGCGAGACCGCGGCCACCCACAAGGAGAGCTCGTGTCACGGGGTGGGAGGCTGGAGATGCCGGGCCTCTCCCAGGCGCCCCTAGCGCTTAGGGTCAGGGTACGGGCACCTGGTGCTGTGCCAGGCCCCCCCCCCGGGGCGCGCAGCAGGTTCACCTACCACCCTTTCAGGGCTTAGCGGGCGTTCCGGCAACCCCGCAGGGCCGTTGGCCCGTTTCTGCCGTTTGGTCCCCGCCCCGCGTCTTGCTCACGCGTGTCACCAAGCACAGACCTCTCGGCCAGGTGCCAGTCTCAGCCGAGAACCAGCTGGGACCAGCCCAATCTGGTGCCTCTGGCGATCCAGCTGACTTCTCCAAACCAGATTCCTGTAGAAAACCTGTCCCAGTTAACAAGCAGCTGACACCACTTTCCAAGTCTAGGTTTCTTCATTTAGCCTGAGCGGGTGCGATTCTTTTCTTTTTTGAAACATTTTTATTGGAAAGTTAGATATTCAGAGAGACAGAGAGGAAGATCTTCTGTCCAACGATTCACTTCCCCAAGTGGTTGCAACAGCCTGAGCTGTACTGATCAGAAGCCAGGACCAGGAGCCTCTTCCCACGTGGGTCTCCCAGGAGCCAGGAACTTCCTCCAAGTCTCCCACGCGGGTGCAAGGTCCCAAAGCATTGGGCCGTTCTCAACTGCTTTCCCGGGCCACAGGCAGGGAGCTGGATGGGAAACAAAGTCACCAGGATACAAACCAGTGCCCATATGGGATCCTGGTACATGCATAGTGAGGACCTTAGCCACTAGGCTACAGTGCCAGGCTCAGGTGCCTTTCATGTAAGGGAGGATTTGGTTTATAGTCCCAGGACCTGGTGCCCAGCAGGTAAGGTAGTTCATTCCACAGGCTTCCTACAACACAGCCACTCAGAGGTGAGGAATGGGGGCACTGCAGCAGTGCCCGAGCTTTCTGCAGCCCAGCGCCTGCCACACCCGGCACGGGCTGCTCTGGGAGTGCTCCCCTAAGCATCTTGCCAGGTGCATGGTGGAGGTCATGAGACACCAGTCACACATCCTAAATCACCTGGGGCCAGCTTGAGTCCAGGCTGCTCCACTTCCTACCCAGCTCCCTGCTAGTGTGTCCCAGGCAGGGGGGCAGTGGTGGAATGACCAAGTGTGTCGGCCCCTTCAGCCGTGTGGCAGACGCCACCAGAAGCTCCTGACCCAAGCTTTGGTCACCTGCAGACTGAAATAGCAGAAGCAGGATCCTCCTGTGCCTCCCTCATCCTGTATAACTTGCCTTTCAAATAAATTTGATGCAAATGAAAAAAAAACAAAAAAAACCTTGGAGACAGAGAACACAGCAACTAGAGGCGTAAATGGGAATTTAGGCTTTGAAAGGGCACTGGCCAGCCAGGATGACTGTTCATCAGGTTAATCACCCCCTGCATCCTCGCATCCCACATGGGCACTGGCTCATACCCCACTCGACTTTAGATCCAGCCTCTTTACAGCTTGGGAAAGCAGTAGCGGATGGACCAAAGCCATGGATGCTACACCCACGTGGGAGACCCAGATGAACCTCCTGATCTCAGATCAGCTCAGCTCTGGCCGTTGCAGCCATCTGGGGAATGAATGCCCAGGTGGAAAATCCTTCTCTCTGTAAATCTGCCTTTCCAATAAAAATAAATAAATAAATAAATAAATAAAGATATTGATTCCCAATTCCAAACTTTTTTTCACTACTTTTGGCAGACCAATCATGATGAAGGACCACCGGGCTGCCCACCCACCCACGGATCTTCCCATCACCACTGCTCGGATCCTGCCCCCGCTCCTGCCTTCTAAGGTTTATCTTGATTGGAAAGACAGATTTTTAAATAGAGATGGAGACAGATCCTCCCTCCACTGGCTCACGCCCAAATGGTCACAAGGGCTGAACCATCCCGACGCCAGGAGCTTCTTCCAGGTCTCCCGAGAGCGCAGCGTCTCAGGCATAGGGTCATCTTTGCTTTCTCAGATCATAAGCAGGGAGCTGGACGGGATGTGGGGCAGCTAGGACATGAACCAGCACCCATATGGGAAACTGGTGCTTGCAGGTGGAGATTGGCATGTGGAGCCATTGCACCTGCCTTTTCTAAATATTTATTCAAAAGGCAGATCAACAGACATGGAAATAGGAAAGGCCCCCAACATGGGTGGCAGAGCCCCCAAGTGCTCAGCACATCTTGCATTGCCTTCCCAGGTGCATCAGAGGGTGTTCCCACATGGGATGCAACATCACCTCATTTCCCTCCTCGTGTCACCAGATAGGTGTGTGCAGATAGGTCAGCACGCCCCGAGTCTCGCCTGCGACCTGGCAATATGTGTCATTTTAAGGGACGGGATGATAGAAATGGAGAAATGTCCCCACAGAGGTCCCTTGCCGCCCCAGGGGGCTGACAGGACCCCCAGAGCACCCAGCACACCCCCCTGTGCCCACCACTCCACCTTGACTTAAAGTTGCCAGCAGCCTTGTGCCATGGGGGGTGGGTAGCGGCGGGCGCCGAGACAGAATTGGACTAGTGCTGGGCAGAGGGGCCCGTGTAAACCCGAATGTCACTGCCCCCAAGGAGCTCACTCCAACAGGAGCTTCAACAAGTCTGTGCACAAATGGGTTTCAATCAGTGAATTTTCCATGAACTTCTTGAGGAACCCTTGTCTATTTTCATCAATTTAGTTTTTTCTAGAATTTTTTCCAACAAGGGTTGCACCTGATGCCTGGGAAGGGACTGGCAGAGGGACCCATCTGGGGTCCATGAGTGGCTGTGGACGCGGACCACCCTTCCAGGCCATGTCCACCAGCCTCTGCACGGTGGGATGGCAGTCGGTCCCCTTCCCCCACCCTGCCAGGCAGGGTGCAGGTGGCCTGCGGGCCAGAGAGGAGCTGAGCAAGACAACTAAAGTCTTTTATTGGCAGCTTGAAGGCAGTGAAGACACCCAGGGACAGACGCCGTTCTGACCTGGCCCATGTGCCAGGGTGATGGCACGAAGGCTCGGCGGGCCCACAGCAGCAGGCATAGCAGATTCTGAAAGTACAGACCCACATGGGCCAGGCTTGGGAGAGGACTAGCCTGCCGATCAAGGGCAGCCCCGACGCCAGCATCTCCAGGGCTGAGCGCCTGAGGGACTGTGAGAGTGAAGACTCCATGTGCCTCCGACACCTGTTCCGCAGTGTCTCTACTGCTGCCGGAGGAACGGGGACTTGCGTGGGTAGCAGTTTAAGGCCGTGTTATGGGGCATGCTCTGCCAGACGACAGCCAGAGGGACAGCTGCTCCAGGCGGCCCCGGCACCCCTCGCTGGGAGATGCACGTGGCGGCTACCAGCACCGCGGCACACGTGTGCCCTGCGGAGGGGTCCCCAGCCAGGGCGGGCTAGTCGTCCACGGTGATGTTTCTGAACAGGTAGGCCATGGACTCGCCGTTGTGGATCCTCCGAATTGCTTCCGCCAGAATCAGGCTGATGTCCACGGTCTTGATCTTGGGGCACTGCAGCTTCTGGATCTCATGGGGCACTGTATTGGTCACCACCACCTGGTTGGCCAAGCAACAGAAAACAAAGTGTGATGAGCGCAAGCCCCAAGGTTGGGGCCCAGGGTCGGAATTCCACATCACAAGAATGGCCCGCCAGAGACATTTTCACAGCTACCATTACGTGAGGGATGGGGACACAGATTCTTGAATCAAGAGAAGCTTCCTAGAGTGTTACAGCACACAAAAGCAGAAGCACGCAGCCCTGACTGTACCACAGTCGGAGCTGGAGTGACATAGGGATATTGCCTCAACTGGCTCACTGCCCACAGAAACGCCCCCTGGAAAGGCCAGCCCCTCGCGCCCTGCAGCGAGCCCTGGGGGAACAAGCCAACCTCATCAATAGAGGACTCCTCAATGAGGCGGGGAGCGTCCGCAGACAGGATGCCATGCGTGGCCATCACGTAGATTTTGTAAGCGCCTCTTTCCTTCAGGATCTCCGCAGCCGCAACAAAGCTCTCCACGTCATCAATGATGTCATCCTGTGGGCAGGGGGTGCCTGCTTAAGGGGTCCCTCATCCCTGCACCTGCTTCAGAACTGGACCCCTGGCCTAAGCCCCAGCACCTGGACAGCAGTGGTGTGTCCTGAGCAAGGTCGGGTGATGCTGCCATGTGCGCATGTGAACACATGCGCATGCTCTGTGAGGCTGCACCGAGACATCCGAGTGCTCCACGGAGGGATGGGTACTGGGCAGAAGTGGCCAGTGGGTATGGCCCCTGGGAGAAGGGTGGTAACACTGAACTTCCTCAGGGCAGACCTGTGCTGTCTGCAGCCACTTGCTGATGCCCATTTATCCACGTACATTTCTGCCATGTGTCTGTCCGGCATGCCAGACAAACCCGGGAGGATGCCGAGTCAGCGCCATGGGAAGCCCAGTGCTAAGCAGAGAGCCCACTGCCCGAGGAGGTGGGGCAGGCGTACCACGATGATGGCGATGCGTCCTCCGACATCCCCGACCACGGTGATGGGCGGCTTCTCCTTGGCCATCATCACTAGTGAAACAAGACAAATCCCACGGCCCCAGTCAGTCAGGGGACCTGGACAAACGGGGTCACAGCCTCACAGCCTCACTGCCCCTCCACATGAAGGGAGCATCCCTTCCTTCCACAGCTGCGGTGTGTACTGTGTATTCACAGCACTTTCTACGAGACCAGTCACGTTTCTAGAATGTGTGTGGGTGTCCGTGTACATACATGCGTGTGTAGGTGTCTCACTTTTGAGCTGCTGAGCAGGCCGTGTCCACAAACGTTCCCTAACAGGGTGAGGGCCAGCCAGCCCCCTCTGGGCAGAGGCTGTGCCAGAGCTGCACCCGCCCCGCCCCACATCCTGGTCACTTGTGCTGCTACAGAGAGAGGCGTGGGCCAGCAAGTCCAGGAAGATGAGCAGAAATTCAGTCCTAGTTAGATGAAGGAAACAAGACGTGTTTACGTCTCTGCAGCCCATTGGCTGGACGCCGCACAGAGCCTTGCTCCCAGTGTAAATCTTCCTTGTTCGCATGGGACTGCCACATCTGAACACAGAGCCCGCCCTCTGGCTGAAGAACACAGCAGGCCGCGGTGTGCAGAGATGGCAGGCCCTCTCGGACGGGGGGGGAAAGGAAAGCCAATTTCTCACTGTTCACCAGAAAATGAAAAATTGAAAATCTTTTAGAAAAGTATGTATATCTTGAAGGCCAGAGAGTGCAAAAATAATCCCAGGTCCCCTTTCTCCATTTTTGTTCTTTTTAAAGATCAATCCATTTATTTGTCAGTTACACAGAGGGAGAGAGGAGATCTCCAATTTGCTGGCCCATCCCCCAGTGGTCACTGTAAGAGCTGGGCCAGGCTGGACCTGGAGCCTCCAAGTCCGTCCAGGGCTCCCATGTGAGCTGTGGGGGTGCAGGCACTTGGGCCACCGTCTGCTGCCTTCCCAGGCAACTCAGCAGGGAGTCAGACTGCAACTGGAGCAGCCATGGCTTGAACCAGAATCCCTATGGGACTCTAGAATGGTTAACAGTGGCTTAACATGCTGGGCCGTAACCCTGGCCCCATTTTTCTCCCTCTTATCAGAACAAACAAAAAAAAACATTATTTGTGTAATAAAGTGACTGGGATCCAGCATGGTAGCCTAGTAGCTAAAGTCCTCACCTTGCATCCGCCGGGATTCCATATGGGTACCGGTTTGTGTCCCGGCTGCCATGCTTCCAAAGCCTTGGGACCCTGCACCTGTGTTGGAGACCCGGAGAGGCTCCTGGCTTTGGATTGACTCAGCTCTGGCCATTGCAGCTGCTTGGGGCGCAAACCCAAGCAAACTAGTAGATGGCAGATCTGTCTCTCCTTTCCTGTCACTCACTGTTCAAGGACACAGGAGGCAGACTGGCCCCGTCTGAGTGACATGGAGCATTAAAGCCAGCAACAGCAGGGCCTGGCATGATAGCACAGTAGTTAAAGTCCTCACCTTGCATGCATGGGGAACCCATACGGGCACCGGTTCTAATCCCGGTGGCCTAGCTTCCCATCCAGCTCCCTGCTTGTGGCCTGGGAAAGCAGTCGAGGACGGCCCAAAGCCTTGAGACTCTGTGTGGGAGACCTGGAAGAAGTTCCTGGCTCCTGGCTTCGGATCGGCATAGCACTGGCCGTTGTGCTCATTTGGGGAGTGAATTATCAGACTAAAGATCTTTCTCTTCTGTCTCTCCTCTCTGTATATCTGACTTTGTAATAAAAATAAATAAAAATAAAATAAATCTTTAAAAATAAATAAATAAATAAACTTTAAAAAAAGTCACCAATAGCAATGGTTTCCAATCTCCAGAGAAACACGGAGACAGGAATCCAGTGCCATGCACGAGGAGGCAGGAAGGGAAGGCGAATGGTCTCTCGCTGGTTAGTGAACATGCAGACGCAGTGCGGGCCTGGGACTGCGGGCCTGGGACAACGGCCCTCTGACAACCACCCCGGCTGAAGCCGCTCTGGTGAGACTCCTCCGCGGTGCCCGAGAGTGCCAGGGCGCCAGGTGCTGTGTGGGCCCTGAACAGGACGCTGTCAGTGACACGGGGGAGGACGCGCTGTGCTGGGGACAAACCTGCCGGACTCCGCCCCAGCCAAGTGACCTTGCCAGCAACATGGGCATCCCGTGCTTCCTGTGGGGCTCCTGCCAAGGACGCCTAACAAGCCCCAATTAGGCGACATATAAAACAAGCGGTTTTGTACTGTTTCAATGCCATCAGGGTCATGGGACAAAGAGACTGGGAGAGCGTGAACAGAGATGGCAGCTGAAGCAGGCGCAGCCATCGGGACCAGGTCCTGGGGCAGGCGAGCTTCGCCTTTTGTTCTAGAACATCAGAGGGACGTGGACAAGGCCTGCGGATTAGATCATGGCAGTGTAACAATGTGAGTTTCCGGGAGCCGATCATTATGCTGGTTACGTAAGAGAAGCTTTGTGTTTGGGAAACACACTTTAAGAATGAAGCTGCTTTATGCTGGTGGTTCGCCGTAAGCGTACAAACGCTGTGTGTGCGCAAATGGTACACTCGAGGATGGGATGACAGCAGGGGAACTACGCATGACTCAACTTTTCTCGAAAGCTGAAATTAGCTCAAAATAAAGACTTATAGAAAAAAAAAAGCAGTGTTGATTTTGCAGCGTCCTCGGGGCTGTGAGAGCTACATTCTGTGCAGAACAAGGGCACGGGCTGGCGCTGTGCCAGGCTAAGTTGCCACCCGCAACACCTGTACCGGTGCCAGTTCCGGCTGCTCCTCCTCCCTTCCGGGTCCCTGCCTGCGGCCTGGGAAAGCAGGGAGGGTGACCCAATGCTTAGGCCCCTGTGCCCGCATGGGAAACCCGGAAGGAGCAGTTCCAGGTCCTGGCTTCGTCCTGGCTTCTCCCCATCCTTTGTGGCGGTTTGTGGAGCGAGTCAGCACATGAAAGTCTCTCTCAGTCTCTCTCCCTCTCTTCAATTTTGTTTTTCCAATAAAAAAGTTCAAGACAAAAGCAGACAAGAACAGCTCCTGTCTGGAGGGCGATGTTCTCTGATGCTCAGAGAGCTCAGACGCATAACAGGGCCCTGTGGGATTTCACGTCCCACAGCCAGTCTGGGGACATCTATCTGTTCACCCTCGGGGGGTGGATGCTGTATCTGCGAGACAGAATGCAAGGCAACTGTAAAGGGATCTGGGGGGGAAGCAGCAAGCTGGGGACGAGGTCACTACACACTGTCAGAGGAAGAAACGGACTCGGCATGAAGCCAGTGGCTGTGCAGGCACGGCCTGCACCGAAGTCCCACAGGCTGGGGGAAGGACGGGGAGTCTGGTGCCTCGGTCCTGTAAAGGACTTCATATTTTTTGAGTTTTAAAATAGGTGAATGTATAATTCATTCAATAATCTTAATTATTAAATCCTCAAAAATAATAGATAAATAAAATGCTGATGCTGAAAGCTTTAGCTAGGGGCCAGAGATGGCTTTTCAGGTGAAGCTGCTGCCTGTGGAGTCCACAGCCCCTAACTGAGCAGTGGTTCAAGACCAGGCTGCTCTCTCAGGCAGCTTAACAGTCATTGTCTAGGAAAACTCTGGAAGTTGGTCCCAGTGGGCTGGGGCTCCCCGCCACCACATGGGAGACCTGGATGGAGCTCCACGCTCCTGGCTTTGGCTGGACCCAGCCGTGGCCACTGTGGCCCTGCAGGAGTAAAGCAGCAGATCAATGATGTAGCTCTGCTGGAAGGAAGGAAGGAAGGGAGGGAGGGAGGGAGGAAGAGAGAGAGGGAGGGAGGGAGGAAAAACAAGTTCTGTGACCCGATGGCCCAGGCTGGTGCTGGCCACCCACTGCTATCGCCCATCTGACCCAGACACGCAAGCCTGGGATTCCACTGTCCACGCGCCATGCTTTCAGCAAGGCTACACCTGCCTGGTGCTGAGGACCAGCTGCTATCCAGATTAGCTCAACCTTCCTTACAGTCTACAAATGTGGGCTGCATACGTGGTCCCATTTTACAAAAGGGCAATTGAGGCATCCAATTATTTTTTAAAAAGCAAAGAACAGGGCCTAATGCAGTAGCCTAGTGGCTAAAGTCCTTGACTTCAATGTGCTGGGATCCATATGGGCACCGGTTCTAATCCCTGCAGCCCCGCTTCCCATCCAGCTCCCTGCTTGTGGCCTGGAAAAATGATCAAGGACGACCCAAAGACTTAGGACCCTGGACCCATGTGGTTTAGGGACCTGGAAGAAGCTCCAGGTTCCTGGCTTCAGACTGGCTCAGCTCTGGCTGTTGCGGCCACTTTGGGAGTGAATCAGCAGATGGAAGACCTTCCTCTCTGCCTTTTCTGTTTATCTACCTTTCCAATGAAATCAAATAAATCCTTTAGAAAAAAAAAAGCAATGAACAAAACAGCACAAATACACCCAGATGCTAACTCCTTGACCTTCATGCTATGCAAAATTTTCAATTTACAAACAGTGAAAACACAGAGTCATCTTACAGGGCAGCTCCAGGCCGGGGTGCACAGTGGCGTTTTTGACCATGGGCGGGGAGTGGCGGCCATCGTCCATGTCCAGCTCTGTGCACTGAGCCTCTCCGTGGATCACAGCTAAACCCAGACGCAGTCTCTCGGCATAGGATTGGGCCCTGCGCAGGAGACAAAGGGAAAGGCACACGTCACTGTGTCACCACGGCAGGGACCTCTGGAAGGACAGGAGGGGCTCTGCCTAGGGGCCCAGGCCAGAGGGCAGTCACAGCTAGGACCCGATTCTAGATAGTTCTGGCCCTATCCTTGTCTAATTTTCTAGTCACCTGGAAAAGGAGTCCGTCTGTTCAGGTGCTGGCAATGTGGGGTAGTACATGAAGTCCCTGGCTGGGAGGCCAGTATCCCACATGGGTACTGGACTGTGTCCCAGCTACTCCACTGTCAACCCAGCTCTATAATGGCCTGGGAACAGCAGTGAAAGAGCCAAAGGCCTTGGGTCCCTGCCACCCACATGGGAGACCCCCAAGCTCCCAGCCCCAGCCTGGCCTGGTCCTACCCTGTGAACTAGATGAATCATCTCTCTTCTAACTCTACCTTTTGAATAAACAAATCTAACAAAAAAATTTTTTAAAGATTTTTTTTAATTGGAAAGGCAGATATAAAGAGGGAAGGAGATACAGAGAAAAAGATCTTCTGTCTGCTGGTTTACTTCCCAAGCAGGAGTAAAAAAACAAAACAAAACAAAACAAAAAACACATACAAAAAAGGCCCAGCACCTTGGGACTCTGCACCTCTCTCCTTCTTTCTGTAAAATTTCCTTTCCAATAAAGATAAGTAAATATATGAGTGAGTGAATGAAAGGATGATTAAATAAGACAATCACTCCCCATGGAGCTCATGGGCTAATTCTCTGCCAGTGAGCACTGGTATTCCACAGAACCAGCTGGTGTCCCGGCTTCGCCACTTCCCACCCAGCTCCCGGCCAGGGCCTGGAAAGCAGTGAAGAATGTTCGAGTCCTTGGGACTCTACGTTTGCGTGGGAAACTTGGAAGAAGCTCCTGGCTTTGGAACCTTGTCCTGATCTGGCTGCCGTGGCCAGTTGGGGAGTGAACCTGTGGTTGGAAGACCTCTGTGTGTGTCTCCCTGTCTCTCTCTACATCTGCTTTTCAAACAAACAAAAAAATAAACGTTAAAAAAAAGCGCTCCACTGGATTCTTACCCCAGCCAGGGGATGGCCCTGGGAGTCTGCGCGCGGCGGGGTGTGCCTGGGCGTGCCAGGGGATGGCCCTGGGAGTCTGCGCGCGGCGGGGTGTGCCTGGGCGTGCCAGCGGCTCCACCGTGACAGCCTGGATTACCGGGAGGGATTTTTGCAAAGGTTGCTTACTTACCTCTTTGCAGCATCAGGAGACTTCGCCACAATGACTGCATTTCTGTAATTCGGAATCTAGATTTGGAAGAAAAGCAGAGAATACTGAGGAGATACCAAGAGCTAAGAGCTGGGCGCGGGGGTGGGAGGCACAGGGCTGGTGCCATGGTGCAGTGAATGAAGCAGCCATCCGGGATGCCAGGCTGCAGCCCGTCCTGTTTCTGACGCAGCTTCCTGCTCATGCCCTCCTGAGAGGCAGCAGGTGCCCGCTCTTGTGCCTCGGCCCCGGCCACCCACAGGAGGGACACGGACAGTGTCCTGGCTGTTGGCTCTGCGCCAGCACGGCCCTGGCTGTTGTAGACGTCCGAGGCGTGAAGCAGTGAAGGGACGCTGTCTTTCCATTTTGTATTTCCCTCTAGTCCCTCCGATTTGTCAAGTAAATTAACTAAATAAAGATGTTGAAAAATAAAACACCAGGATGCTGGTATTAAACCTTGGACTGTTTGAATTCTTAGAAGAATCCAAGCCAACAAGCAACTGTGCACAGGCAAACATTCTCAAATACTGTCAACAAGATTCAAATAAAAGAATTCTTTAAACTTTCACCCTAAGGAGTTGGCACGGTGGTGTAGCGGGTTAAGCTGCCTGGAAAGACGGCATTCCATGTGAACCCATGGATGGAAGATCTGCCCCTTGGACTCTCTCTCTAAATCTGTCTTTCAAATCAATCAGTCTTTGAAAAAACCACCACAAAAAGCTTCATTCTACAACATGTAAGCTAAGTCCTTTGAAGAAAATCTGCTTTAAATATCTTTGAAACTCTGACCCTGTCCGGCTGCCTCAGGCAGGTGCCAAGGAGACAAAGGTCACAGCCCAGCCTTTCACCAGAGAACCCTGACCTGGGGGGAACCCCTAGAGCGCGCTCGGAGGCCAGGGGGCGCGCCCGCGGCGCCTCACCTCTTCCTGGATGTACTGGAGCAGGAAGGGCGAGGCTCGCAGGTTGTCCACTGGAAAGCTGAAGAAGCCCTGGATCTCCTTCTGATGAAGGTCCATGGTGATGATGTGTGTTAAACCTGCAATGTCAAGGCCCACAGTGATTAAGCTCAGCCCCAAAAGGCCACGGCTACGGGGCTCAACTCCCTGCTTCTACCACCAGACTGAAGACGGGGCGTGGGGAGCAGTGTGGCAGGCACAGGCACACATGGCATCTTTACCAAAATGCTGTGGGCTGAAGACCAGCTCAGGACTGTGTGCAGGGCGCACTACACTCCCATGGGTGCAGAACTAATGCAGGGAGCAGGTGCTCTCCAACTACAGCTGGGCCCTGAAGACTGAGAAAATAAAAATGAAATAGAAGCGAAAATAGGTTTATGGAGTTAACAAACCCCAAAGTAGTAACAGCTATAAGTAAGGTCTCAGGCCAGGTGCCATGGCCTAGTGGCTTAAGTCCTCGCCTTGAATGCGCCAGGATCCCATATGGGCGCCAGTTCTAATCCCGGCAGCTCCACTTCCCATCCAGCTCCCTGCCTGTGGCCTGAAAAAGCAGTCGAGGACGGCCCAAAGCCTTGGGACCCTGTACCTGCATGAGACCTGGAAGAGGCTCTGGGCTCCTGGCTTCCGATCGGTACAGCACCGGTCATTCTGGCCACTTGGGGAGTGAATCATCAGACAGAATATATTTCTCTCTCTCTCTCTCTATATATATATACACATCTGACTTTGCAGTAAAAATAAATAAATCTTTTTTAAAAAAAGTAAAGAAAAAGTAAGGTCTCAATAAAAGAATCTTAGTTGGGGGCTGGTGTGGTGCCCCGCAACACCGGCACCCCATGTGGGTGCTGGCACTGCGTGCCCCACACCTGATCCGGCTCCCCAAGCAAAGCAGCAGGGGACGGCACAAGTGCTCCAGCCCCTGCCGCACCCTGGGAGACCTGAAAGGAGTTCCTGGCTTGCAGCTTTCTAACTCCTTCAAATAAATAACTAAACCTTTAAATAAATAAACCTAAAAAAAGGTTTGGTTTTTTTTTTTTTTTTTTTTTAAGCCTTAAGAAGAAAGTGGCTAAGAAGAATGTGGCTATGGCAGAAAGGAAAAGGAACTAATGTGATATAAAGATCAGATCCTCAAGGTCGCAATTTCCACCTGTGCCAACAGGCTGGCCCCAGAATGCTCTCCCAGAGAAACAAGGTCACAGGCTATTGGAGTCAACTGTGCTCACCAACAGAAAGGGACAGGAGGGCAGCGCAGATGGCGGCGGCACGCCCAGCTCCTTGCTAAAAACATGTTATCCTTCTAGAGAAAACGGAACTCAACACACATAAGCTTTGACGGACTCAAACACACATTTGACTTTTACAATAAGCAACACACAAATAAAATTTGCTCACTGAATGAGGTTATTGCACTTGATGTTTAGTTCCGAAAGCCTGGCCTGCCACATATGGAGCAGAAAGCGGTGAGCAGGGGGCTCCACAAAAAGGCAGTGGGAGCAGGGAAAGCAGAAATGAGAGCCCGGATCAGACACACATGGAATGCAGCGAAGGAAGACAAACATGGAAATGCAGTGCTTTGAAGCTCAGAATGCCATGTAAGAACGCCGAGACTGCAGCTCAACACTCCGCAGTGACCAGGAAGGCGGAAACCGAGTCCGCAATCGGAGACCTTGAAGCCAGGCTGCTTGTCATGCTGAAGTGAAACACACAGAGACCAGAACGAGACGCGGTGCCTGAGTACCCCCACACGCAGCGTGGACACCATCAAATGAGACAAAGTAATCAGGGACAGCACGGGCAGAGCCAGCTTCCGGGCCAGCCCAGCAGGGAGTGTGTCTCCTTACTGGGCCCGAGCCCCGGCTCACTGCCTGCAGCCCTTGGTTCCACGCACCCGCCTTGGCCAGCATCGAGGCCAGGAGCTTGCACACGATGGAGCCCCTCTTCCTCATCTTGCTCTGCTTGCTGTAGGGGAAGTAGGGGATGACGCCAATGATGTTCCGGGCACAGGCCGTCTTCAGGGCGTAAGCCATGATCAGTAACTCCATCACAGCCGTATTCACATCTCTGAAAACAGAAGTGCATGGGGGTCAATTCCAGGTGCTCCACCCCCAGGGAGGGTCCTGCCCGCAGCCACCGCACACGGCCACTGGCACTTCACCATATCGACCTGACGACACCTCATGGGGCACAGGAAGGCCTAGCAAGCACAGGTGGCTGGGCAAACACAGGTCTCCAGCTGCGGGAACTCAAGTCCATGGCACGTTTATGCCCAGACTCGCCCTTCCCCATCCGCGTGGCAGTGACTGCAATGGCCAGAGTCACGCAGCACCTGCCGGGGGCCTCCCAGGAGCCACCAGGACTCGGGCAAAGGGGAACACCAAGGGGTCCCCACCTGCCCTATCTCAGAGCCACGGACAAGATTTAGCCTTTCTCTTACAGAGCGTAGCAGGGGTGGGCGGGACAAACCTTGGGAGTTATTCTCAAAGCCCACCCTGGCCCACTAATCCCCAAGGTCCGCAAAGGACGGGTGAGCCCAGCATCCCCCCCGGCCCCTTCACCACACACCATCAGCCCCATCCACAGGCAGTATCACTTGCAGGAGCCTCGGATGGCAAAGATCTGACAGGTGTGTGCCCAAGTGGCTGAAATGCTTCTCACAGAGGCTCGGCTTCTCCCAGTGTCTGCCGACACCACCCCTCAGGCTGAGCAGCACCTGGGAATGAGCATCTAAGGACATCCTCTGACCCCAAGGTCTTCCGTGGACACGTTCAGCCACAGAACTCCAACCTCACCACTGAGATGTGTTCTTGGCCTGGCGATGGCAGGGCCCCTTGATAAGGCCTCGCAAGGCAGGTGCCGTGCACATCAGTTCCCTCTCTGCTTGGAGCCAGCACCCTGCCTGGAGTGCCCTGCAGCTTCCAGCTAAGCACGCCCTGGGAGGAAGCAGGCGGTGGCTCAGGTGCCCAGATCTCTGAATCCAGATATAGACCACACTGTGGCTTTAGCTCGGTCCTGCCACCAGCTGCTGTCAGAATTTAGGGAGTAAAACAATGGATGAACAATTTCCTCTTGTCTCTCTGTGCTGGCCAAGCCAGAGGCAGGCGCTCCATCCAGGTCTCACACATACACAGCCAAAGATCCAGTTATCACTGCTGAGTCATCACTGCTGGCTCCCGGACTGCGCGTGAGGAGCCAGACCTGGGAGTGCTAGACTAGGACCCCAGCACCCAGCCCCGGAGTGCCTGCCCGGCACAGCACAGGGAGGTACAAACAGCAGGTTGCTGACATGCTCGGACAAGCACCCTGACCTCAGGGTCCCTTTCAGGAACTACTGACTTCCCATATGAGACCCCTGTTCTTTTCTGCCTGAGAGCCCATGCCAAGTGGCCCAAAAGGTCCTCCAGCTGAGGGCTAGAGAGCCTGCAGGAAAGCAGCACTGTGATGCCAGCACCCCAAATGGCACAGGCTCAGGTGCTGGCTGCTCCACCTCCCATCCTTCACCAACAGGGCAGATAAGGATGAGGCTCCTGGCTTCGCTCTGGCCCTGCCACAGCCATTGCAGCCACTCAGGGAGCGAGCCAGAGGATGGAAGACCTTCCTGTCTTTCCTTCTAACTCTACCTTTCAAATAAATACAAAAATCTTTAATAATAATAAAAGGAATGCCTCCCAACCCCCACCCCTCACTGGTGAGAAAGGTGACAAAAGGGCCTTTGTCACTCTGGCTTTACCCACCTGTCACCGGACACGGGCAGTCTCCTTGCATGCGAGCAGGGAGGCGCACTTGGCAGGCAGTCTCCGCTGTTTATCTGTTCCCTGAGAACGTTCCAACACATCCCAGGCAGCTTGTGTCTAAGTAGGACAGTCTTAACGACCTTACCAACAGTTTTTCTTTTCCCTACATTAACTCCGCCCCTACTGCTCTCTCAGCTTGGATCTGGTTAACAGACGTAGGATACACATTAAAGAATCTGTGTGGGCCCAGCATAGTAGCCCAGTGGCTAAAGTGCTCGCCTTGCATGCGCTGGGGTCCCATGTGGGCACCAGTTCTAATCCCGGTGGCCCTGCTTTCCATCCAGCTCTCTGCTTGTAGCCTGGGAAAGCAGCAGAGGACGGCCCAGAGCCTTGGGATCCTGCACCCATGTGGCAAACAGGGAAGAGGCTCTGGGCTCCTGGCTTCAGATTGGCGCAGCATTGACCATTGTGGCCTCTTGGGGAGTAAATCAATGGACGGAAGACATTTCCCTCTGTGTATCTGACTTTCCAATAAAAAATGGAAAAAAAAGAAAAAGAAAAAAGAAACTGCGCAGGACTGCTAAAGGTATAGCCCCATCCCCAGCTCTAGCAATCACCCATGGAGAGAAGGGCGCTGGCTGGGAGCCCAGCTGCTCCACTTCCCATCCAGCTCCCTGCTGATGTGCGTGGGAAAGCTGCAGGGCCACTGACACCCAACGGGAGCCCCAAATGGAGTTCCTGGCTCCTGGCTCCTGAGTTTGGCCTGGCCCAGCTCTGGCCACTGCAGCCATTGAGGGAGTGAATGGATGGAAGACCCCTTTCTCCCCCCACTCTAACTCTGCCTTATAAATAAACAGAAAGTGTCCCTACATGTCAACACCACTGGACTTGAGTGAACGTGAGACTGTTCCCTCAAAACATACTTTGCAGGCTTCCTATTTCTTTTTGAACGCCACAAAGTTCAACTACCCAACATAATTACTTCATTGGCAGTGGATTTTTGTCTTTTCCAAAACTTAAAGCCATCCTCAATTATCAAAAATGTACCCTTACTGCAGCAGCCACAAGAAAGCAGCCGCAACTTCGGAGTGGTTCCGGGGTGCCAGAGCTATCTCGGCGGATAAACACCACATTCCGATCTCGGGCTGTTTGAGAAGGCAGAGAGCGAAGCTGAATGCCTACGCTCTCTGTGTTTAAAATCAGCCTCAGCGGGACCAGCGCCGTGTGCGGCACGGGGGTTAGGCAGTCACTTCAGACGCCACATCTCATGAGGGCCACTTCTGGGACTGGTTCAGCTTCTAATGTAAATTTCCTATTGTTTTCAAAGATGCAGTTATTTCTATTTAAAAGGCAGAACTGAAAAGAAAGAGGGAGGAAAGAGAGATACAAAGATCTTCCACCTGTTGGCTAACTCCCCAAGTGGCTGCAGCAGCAGGAGCTGGGCCGGCCAGAAGCCAGGAGCTTTCTCTGGGTCTCTCACGTAGATGCAGTGGCCCAAGCACTTGGGTCACCCCACCGCTCGCCCAGATCAGAAATGCAGCAGCCAGGACTCAAATCAGTGCCTACATGGGATACCACAGGCAGGTTAACGTGTTACATACACCTTGGCTTCCTGTGAGTGTGCTTGGAAAGGCCTCAGATGACAGTCCAAGTCCAGGTGCCCTAGCACCCACACGGGAGAACAGCACGGAGCCCCCTGGGCTCTGCCCCGGGCCTAGCCGCGACTCCTGAGGGAATGAGGGGAATGAACCAGAGGCTGTAAGACCACTCACACACTCACGCGCTCACACACACTGCCTCTCAAATACAAGCAGTCTCATTGCTGTAGGCACTATCCCCCTCTCCTCCCCAGCAACAGCTAGGAGTGCAAGAGCTATTCCTTCATCCATGTAACTAGCAGTCAATACTGACAAACGCACTCTGTGTTCTTCAGCTGGCGTTCAACTATTTAGCACTCAATAATCAAGTCCCAATTATTACAGCTGCCCTATGGGATAGCCACGGTCTGTCCTGCCAACAGGCAGGGAACGGTCCAGGCAGGGCCGTCTGAGGGCTGCCTCGCTGAAGCATCACAGGAACTACGGCTTCACCAGAACCTGGGCCAGGAGCAGAAGGGGATGCCCTCCGTGGAACTAGGCTGTCGCCCCAAGGTGTGCATTTAACACAAGGGGGCGGGTCTCTCGCCATTCTCCGTCAGCCCTCGATGAACATGGGCTCTTCCTTAAGTCCCAGGGGCCACGCCCAGGGCATGGGGCAGAGGTCGCTCTTTCTTACGCCCTAAGTGCTCCAGCATTGAGGCTGGAAGCAGTGGTGACAATGCAGCATGGCCACTCACTGCCACCACAGGCCGGGGTGCCCAGGAAGCCATGCAGCAGCCACAGCGGGGCCTAAGCCCCCTGCCTATGTGCACGGGAAGGGGCAAGGGCGAGGGGTGCTCAGCCAGGACTTCTCTGTCAGCAGCCACCTGACAGACACGGAGGGACGGATGCCAGACAGCTCGGGAGGGAGGCAGGCCCGGAGGTGCTGGTTGGGGGTTGATCCAGTCAGTTGCTCTTGGCAAAGGCTGCTCTCAGATGAGGACTGACAGTTTGTTGAGGAAATGGGAGCCTAACGGCTTTCTCTAAGTAGTGACACACAAGAGCTGGGAGTGTGTTTCCTTAACTCTCCCCTCAGATTTGTAGATGTATATGGTCTGAATAGTCTAAATAGAAAAAATAAGGCGACGCTGTGGCAGAGTAGGCTAAGCTCCACCCAGAGTGCAGGAATCCCCTGTGGGCACCGGTTCATATCCCGGCAGCCCCGCTTCCCATCCAGCTCGCTGCTTGTGGCCTGGAAAAGCAGTCGAGGACGGCCCAAAGTCTTGGGACCCTGTACCCGCATGAGAGACCCAGAACAGCTCCTGGCTTCTGGCTTCAGACTGGCACAACTCTGGCCATCGCAGCATCTTTTGGAGTGAATCAACAGATGGAAGATTTTTCTGTTTCTCCTTATCTCTGCAAATCTGACTTTCCAACAAAAATGAAAATAAATAAATAAATAAATAAGTAAGTATACATATATATATGTAAGTATGTGTGTGTGTGTGTATATATTTATATATCCAGCAGTCCTGTAGGGCACTGGATGCTCTCATCTTTGCCGCATTTCTTCCTCCTCCAGTTCCAGAAAGCCTCTCCCAGCAACCCCCAGAGCAGGCGATCGCACTGGCTTGCTGGGCCAAGTGGGATGTCCACCTTGGATGGAAGAAGTGTCTCAGGGAATGGATCGAATAAGGAGGCACGGTGGACAAAAGTGTCCCTAACCAACCTCACACTACCAGAGCAGGGCACCCCACAAACAGGCACAGGGATCAAAGCCACTAAGGAGGAAAACCAGCGGAAGCCTCAAGCCCCTCCCTGGTCCCTGGGTTCCTGGGCAAGGCCCTCAAGCCTTCCTCCCTCAAACTACACCCCAGCTGTTTGTACAGGCCTGGGGTCGCCACAATAGCACCTGGGAGATGGCTGAGCACCACAGCCCCGAGGGAGCCGGGCAGCGGGCAGCAGAGGGAGCCGGGCAGCGGGCAGCAGAGGAGGGATGGCTGAGCACCATAGCCCCGAGGAGGGAGCCGGGCAGCGGGCAGCAGAGGAGGTGGCAGGCACTGGCACGTGTCTGCAGCACCAACCACGTGGACACGTGCCGGGCATGTCACACGTTACCTGCTCAATGGTCTTGAGGATTACTTGAACTTATGGATCCCACCCTGGCAAGCACACATTAGAAGCACACAGCCCCACTTACAGAAAGCCCTCTACAAAGAATGGGGACTGGGCTAGGAGGGCTGGGGTCTCCTGACACACACTTCTAGGTGCCTGCATCTTTAGTGACCCCAGAAAGAGGACTGTGAGAACAAGCCCTCAGCACCGCCCGTGGCAGGGACTCTTCCGTCCACGCCTGCACCTCCATGGCCCAGCTCGCTTGGCCTCCTCAGCGCAGTCCCTGCCGAGCTCTGTGTGGAACTTAAGGGTTAAAAAACGACATACAGGTGTGGTCCTGGCCATGCCCCACTGACGGGGAAGAGCAGGCCTGGCCTTTCCCCAGGCACATCCCTGGGGGGCACTGAGCTCTCGGAGGAGGGGACCAGGACAGAAGGCGTGGCGAGAGCCTGTGCTGACGAGGACCAAGCGGGAGCCATCACACAGGGTTTAATGACAAAGTCGCAATGGAGCCGCGCACAGGTCACGTGCACACACACTCTCTCCGTGTGCCAGCTTTAGCCACACTGAGCTGCATCGGTCTGCTCTGGAGGCAGTTAGAGCTCGGGGAAGACAGTCACACGAGTGACACACGGACCAGGCAGCAGAGACCAGCAGCCACATCTGGGAGGTGCATGACTTTACAAGGAAAGACAGCGCACTCTGCCAGCAGGATCTGTGGGGGAGTGGGGAGGCCTCAGAGTGCTCCATCACCGGGGTCTGTGGGGGCGTGGGGAGGCCTGAGAGTGCTCCATCACCGGGGTCTGTGGGGGAGGAGTGGGGAGGCCTGAGAGTGCTCCATCACTGGGGTCTGTGGGGGAGTGGGGAGGCCTCAGAGTGCTCCATCACCGGGGTCTGTGGGGGAGGAGTGGGGAGGCCTGAGAGTGCTCCATCACTGGGGTCTGTGGGGGCGTGGGGAGGCCTCAGAGTGCTCCATCACTGGGGTCTGTGGAGGAGGAGTGGGGAGGCCTGAGAGTGCTCCATCACCGGGGTCTGTGGGGGAGGAGTGGGGAGGCCTCAGAGTGCTCCATCACTGGGGTCTCTGGGGTTTAGAGGCCACAGACAGCACTCTTACCTGGGGATGGTCTGGATAATGAAAACATCTTGGCCACGAACAGATTCTTTGATTTCAACTCGCGTTTCTGGAAAACAAAAAACATCCTAGAGCTTGACACACAGCATCTCATGACAAAAGAAGGAGACAGCATCTGGGAAACAGAAGAGTCTAGAACGACACCTCACTCAATGCCAGAGGATTTGTTCACAGACCTTGGGACGACATGGGCACATGTGAGAAGCAATCAAGCCACAAATAGATCAGACCAACAGGCCCGATGAGCAAATCCCGATGCCTCCACCAACCGTGCGGGCCGCTAATGCCAAGGCCACCTGGGGCCCTAACGGGAAGACGCAAACCACTGGGACAAAGACTAGCCAGGGAGAGAGCAGGCCAGGTGTCAGACACAGACCAAGGATGAAAAAGAGGGATTTAAAGGGCAGGAACAGGGTCTGGTACCATGGCCTAGCAACTAAAGTCCTCCCCTTGAACACGCCAGGATCCCATATGGGCATCAGTTCTAATCCCAGCAGCTCCACTTTCCATCCAGCTCCCTGCTTGTGGCCTGGGAAACCAGACGAGGACAGCCAAAAGCCTTGGGACCCTGCACCCGTGTAGGAGACCTGGTGGAAGTTTCTGGCTCCTGGCTCCGGACTGGCGCAGCTCTGGCCATGGGGTCACTTGGGGAATGAATCATTGGATGGAAGATCTTCCTCTGTCTGTCCTCCTCTCTGCATATCTGACTTTGCAATAAAAATAAGTGCATGAGGAAGGCAGAGGGCCACAGCAAGAGAGGTACGGGGCAGCGGCTAGACCTCGGACAAGTCCCCAGGAAAGTAGTGACAGGAAGGGGCAGCTAGGCAGACAGGGAGCCACCAAGGGACTGAAACGCAGGTGTCCGGGCAGCACCTCGAGGTGTCTGAGCACATGAGCGGTGGGGAGGGTGTGACCAGAGACGGGCAGAGCTTGACTCCCAGGGAGGCGGGTGCCAGTCTGTGGGACAGCAAGGAGGACGCAGCACAGTCAACACGGGCAGTCAGGGGTATCCTGGGCCAGGGCGGGCGGCAAGGACAGGGCATGGAGGTGGGTGACACAGGTCCCGCTGTGCTTTCTGGCGTAGTCCCCACTAGTCCCTCCGTTTTCATTCTAAAGCTGCAGGCCATTTGTGTCACTGCTGAAAAAGACAAGGCGACAGGAGGGCAAAGAAGCCAAGAGTTCAGACGCTCTCGCCTTAAACAGGAGTGGCATTTGCCTCGTAAAGCCTGCAGCTGCAGACCCGCGCAGACAGTGACAACAGTCGTGGCTCACCTCCGTTGGTCTCTTGGTACACGACAGACTTGCCCAGCTCAGCCCCAAGACGCCTGTGGGCACATACAAAAGGCAAGTAAGAATTCTCACCAAAGCATTTCCTTCGTATATGCATCTACATATATATATTTAGAAGATCTTCCATCCACTGATTGGATCTCCAAATGACTGCAGTAGCCAGTGCCAGGACAGAGGCCACCAGGGCTGGGGAACAAGCAAATGCGGAGCTCACAGTTCAAGGTTCTGGAAATGGTGGGCTGTGGTTCACACCGTCAACGCACACCACGCTTAAAAAGGGCTCAAATGGCTCCTGTGGTTACACATATTTTATCCGTTGTAAAAGTATTCCAGGGGCCCGGCATGATAGTGTAGCGGTTAAAGTTCTCGCCTTAAACACGCAGGGATCCCATATGGGCGCCGGTTCTAATCCTGGTGGCTCCACTTCCCATCCAGCTCCCTGCTTGTGGCCCAGGAAAGCAATGGAGGACGGCCCAAAGCTTTGGGACCCTGCACCAGTATGGGAGACCTGGAAGAGGCTCCTGGCTTCAGATTGGCATAGCATCGGCCGTTGCGCTCACTTGGGGAGTGAATCATTGGACGGAAGATCTTCCTCTCTGTCTCTCCTCTCTGTACATCTGCCTTTCCAATAAAAATAAAATAAATCTTTAAAAAAAATACAAAAAAAAAAGAATATAGTTATAGATTCATTTTCAAAGATTTGCTTGAAATGCAGAGTTTTACACACACACACACACACACACACACACACACACACACACACACATATCTGGTTCACTCCTCAAATGGCTACAATGGTCAGGGCTGAGCCAAGGACAAAGCCAGGACCCTGGTGCCTCATCTAGGTCTCCCAAGTGGGTGCTGCTTTTCCAGGCACATTAGCAGGTAGCTGGACAGAAAGTGGAACAGCTGGGACACAAACCAACACCTACATGGGATGCCAGCAACATAGGAAGCAGCTTAACCCACTCTATCATGATACACCGATTTTTATCCAACAGAAAGGAAGAGAGACAGACATGGACTGCCATGGGTCAGTTCCCAAGTGCCCGCAGCAGCCGCAAGAAGCTAACTCAACGCAGTCTCCCACCTTCCCAGGAATGAAACCTGGCAGGATTCCCAAGTCCCAGCGCATGCCTCAGCAGGGCACTGGGCTGGAAGCAGCCGGGCTCACAGCTGCACCCTTCAGTGGAGGACGTGGGGACTCACGGGGCATCTTAGCTGCTCTGTCCAATGCCTGCCCCCAACTCTGCAGGGTGGGCACTGTGCTGCCACCCCACTGTGGACACCGGCTCAAATCCTGACTGTCCCACACCTCAGGTTCCTGGGAGGCAGTGGAGAACAGCCCAAGCGCTCAGGACCTGGCAGGAGTTGCTGTGGACACGTGGGGGCTGAACCAGCGGATGGAAGATTGCCTGCCTCCCTCCCTCCTTCTCTGTCACTCTGCTTTCCACACAAAACAAATCTTTCAAAAAAGTATCAGGGCCAGCATTGTGGCAGAGCAAGTTAAGCTTCTCTCTGCAATGCCAACATCCCTTCTGGGCAGCAGTTTGAGTCCCGACTGCTCTAGTTCCGATGAGCTCCCTGCTAGTGCACTGGGGTCATTAATGTTTATTCCTGGCTCAGCCCTGGCCTTTGCAGCCATTTAGGGAATAAAACAGCAGACCAAAGATCTCTGCCCCCTTCTCCTCTGTTACTCTGCTTTTCAAACAAAATAAGCCTTAGAGAAAATAAAGTCTAAAGGCTCCTGGCTTTAAGTTTACATCTGAAAGGAATCAGGGCCAAAACACGTCCAATGGCCTCAGGCCACCTTATCCAGTGATGGCGCAGGTTTAATGGTAAAACTCATTTTTCAATCAAGCCTCAGTGAGAAAGAACTTTACAAAGCAGACACAGGTTTCTTTTAACTCAGCTACTTATTTTTAGCAACTTAAAATCTTTCTGTAGCATAGCAGGGGAACCTAGTATGACTTTCTACAACGCCCGCCCCCTCCTGCCTTCTTACAAGTAAGCCCTTCCCAGCATTTCCTTCTGAAAGTGACTATTTTAGCTGGCCTCCAAAGAAAAGACAAATAGGTTACAAAGAGTAATCAGCTAGCAAAGTGTAAAGGGCTGTCTGATCACCCTCTTCTAATCTCACTCAGTGCCCCCTCTGAGGACAGGTGCAGTGGGGAAACTGTCCAAAGTCCCTGTTACCTCATCTCCCACACTCATGGGTTACTCGGGCACACAGCGCCACTCTACTCGGTCCCGTGCGAAATGCGAGGACGCCTCTACATGCACGTTTAGCAGGCTGTTCATTTTATGTCTTATACGAGGGTTACACTGAGACAGCAGGTTAGGGGTGATCGTTTGGAGTGCCCGGCTCCAAGGGACAGCCCCAGCCTGGATTTCAGCTTCCTGTCAATGCCCGCCCTGGCAGGCAGCAGGGGACCAGTCACTCACATGGGACACCTGGCTAGAGCTCCAGGCTCCGGGAGTGCACCTGACCCAGGCCTGGCTGCTGCACGCACAGGGGAGTGAGGGGTCTGCAGATGGAGGAGCTCCACCCCCCGCCCCGCCCTTCAAATAAAAGCGGGAGGTTATCTCGGTGTAAAATACTTGAAAATCCTTGCATAGTCTTTTTCCTCACAAAACGATCTTTGCAGGACCTTCTAAAACGCCTCACATTTCAAACAAGTTGGTCCCGGAAAGACCCCAAGAGGCTCTAGGAACCACTAGCGCTCCGGGTTTCTTAACAGCCCAAGAGGAAAGGACTTTTAAGGAAACAGATCATGCTCGGACCAGGATGAGGCTCTCTCATTCTGCTCAGGCCCGCCCCACCTGTGCCCATCAGGCAGCGCCATCCTTGTGGCACGAAAGCAATCCGGAACCCGGAGCAGGGAAGCGGCAAGGGGACCCCCCAAAGCCAATGAGATCCCATCTTCATTTCTGTCTCCGACCCCCGACAACAGGCTTTCCTCGCAGTTGCCTGGCGACTTCTCCCGGGCGCTTTCCCACACACTGAACTGTTTGCTATCCGTCCCGGGGGACCCCTCCGGCTCTCCAAGGAGACCCGGGAATGGCGACGGCCCGGCTCCAACCGTGGGAAAGGACCTCCCTTCTCCACCCCTGCCCGGGGGCTTGCCGGGTGCTGGCCGCCGCACCGGGAGGTGGGACCCGGAGAGCGGGGCGGAGGGGCGGGGGTCCCCAGGGCGTCAGCCCGATTGCAAAACCGGGAGCAGAGGGGAGCGTCTGCCCCCTCTAAGCGGTTAGCCCAGCTCTGGGGCCGGCACGGTGCTGCGGCCGCTTCCCCGCTGCCCAGGTGCGGGCAGTGGGCCCAAGGACGCCCCAGCCGGGCCGGGGTGCGAGAAGCGACTCCAGGGCGGCCCCGGGCAGGGGGTCCCCCATCCCGCCCTCCCGAGCCCCGGGCGCCCCCTCGCTCACTCGGTGATGCGCTTGGCCAGCTCGGTGCAGGCGGCCGTGGAGTTGGCCGAGAAGACTCGGTAGCCGGTGCGAGCGGCGTTCATGGCCGGCGGAGCGGCGGGGCGAGCTCGCGGGGCGCGGAGAGCCGAGGACACGCAGAGCGGGGGCAGCAGCAGCAGTTTCCTGGGCATCGTCCGACCCGAGGAGCGGTTCCAGCCGGCCCCGCGCGGGGCTGCGCCCGGGAGCCGGCCCGACGACGGCCGGCCGCGGGAGGAAGGCGCTGCGGAACGCGCCGACCGCTGTCCTCGGCGCCCGCACGGCCCCGAAGCCGCGGCAGGACCCACGCGCGCCGCGAGCCGCTCGCAGCCGCCTCAGGGCGAGCCGCCGCCCCCTCGGCGCAGCCGAGCCGCGCTGGCTAGAGCGGCCGCATCCGCCATCTCAGGTGAGGGCAAGGAGGTGGCCAACGCCAGGGCGCTTGTTCTCCCAAGGGACGCACGACGGACTCACTCCACCGCCTGCTTTTGCCGCCCCCGTAGAAACTCTTTTGCTTTCAAGCTTCTGGGCAACGCAGCGTGCCTCGTGCTACTCCCAGCCGTCTCCAATTCTTCAGCCAGGAACCAAAATGTCGACCTCCGTGGTGGTAGACGAGCTAGCCCTACGCCTCTATGATAACAGAGGGTTTGGCCCTCCCATGCGCGTGCGCCGGCCTGGGATTCATTTGAAAAGTGGAGGGAGGGGTTATCCCTACACTGTCTCCCGCTGAAGTGGCACGTCCCGAAGATGGTGGGTTCCCGAGCCTAGGCATCCTCTAACCTCGTACCTGCGCGTTCGGCAAAGTTCCCTGGCAGCCTGCGCGCCACCGGCCTTCGGGGACCCACTGCCCGCGTCCACCTGCTCCGCGCGGGCGTCCAGGGACCCTCGGACTGAAGCCTCGGAGAGGCGGCCGGGACTCTGCTTAGCGCTGCGCCTTCCCCACGCGTGGGGCCGCGTGCTCCTTGGCGCGTGGACGGTCCGAGAAGTAGAGGGCCAGGAAGCCACTAGTCAGTGGTTATCACCGGCCCGCGTCTGGAGGGGAAGAGGGCGCCCCGAGGACCCCCGCGCCAGGTGGTGCTCCAGGCTGAAGGTTCGGGACTCTGTGAGTGGAACCGCCCTGGCGCCTGCAGCAGCCTGGCCCTCTCAAACCGCAGCAGGGAAAATAATACACAACTGAAGCCAAAACCAAAACAGGCTTTGTAGGTCAGCTTCGGTAGCCATTGTGTTGTGGGATGTTGCCACGCAAAACCTGGCAGCAGCCTCGGTTCTTGTCTCACCAAAGAATTGACATGAGGACAATTCCAGTTTGCAAGGCAGGATTTATTTAGGGGAAAAGGGCTCCTGCTGTGGTGGCAGGAGGGGGCTCTACGTGTCCGGAGGAAGAAAAATCCCGAGTTAATGGTGGTGTTGGTATCATTCATGCAACCTTCTCAGGGGTCAAAGGACAAAATCGTTCCCAGTGGCAATCTGGTTTCTAATCAAACTTGAGGAGGGTGGGACTGGTTAACTTCCTCCTCCCATTCGCTGGGACAATGGCCCCAAGATGGGATTAGGTAGAGCACTTCCAGATGGTGAATGGACATGTTAATTTTGCTCCTGTGTCCTCCAAGGCCAGAGGAGTAACGTGCTCTGGGGAAATAAGACCTGGGGGAGAAATACAAGTTTTTTTTTTTAAAGATTTATTTTTATTATTTTTTCATTGGAAAGGCGGATATACAGAGAGGAGAGACAGAGAGGAAGATCTTCCGTCCAATGATTCACTCCCCAAGTGAGCGCAACGGTCAATGCTATGCCGATCCGAAGCCAGGAGCCTCTTCCGGGTCTCCCACACGGGTGCAGGGTCCCAAAGCTTTGGGTCGTCCTCGACTGCTTTCCCGGGCCACAGGCAGGGAGCTGGAAGGGAAGCGGGGCTGCCGGGATTAGAACCAGAGCCCATATGGGATCCCAGGCGTGCTAGGCGAGGACCTTAACCACTTGCGCCACCGCACCAGGCCCAAGAAATGCAAGTTTATACTAAAAAAAAATAACTTCAAGACCAGAAAAACCCTAACTAGCTGCTATTCCCTCTGACTCCTCACACAATTGCATGCTGATGCAATCAGACAAAACTTGTGGTACCTTCTAGAACAAAGGGGAGCCACATCCTTTCGGTGGTCCCAGTATTCATGGAACCCCTCAAACATCAAGTGTCCATTTTCTCAATTCTACCTCATACTGCTCCTTCTCCTCCCCCTCTTCCATTCCTTCTGCCAGTGAACTTGACCGTCAAGTCCCTAAACAATCCCTTCGACCCTGTAGGGAGCTCCTGCTGTTGACCCGGCCTGTTTCAGCCCTTTCCAAACAGCTTGAGTGAAGAAGAGGACCTAGCCGCCCTCATGCCGACTGGCCAGCCCCACTCCTGATCAAATCTCTGAGGTGCTCACCTACACATGACCCCAGTGCCTGATTCTGGAAACGCCCACAAGATGGCTGTGAAGTGGCGGACTTGGGAAATGACCCTTTGGGGACATCCAGTGGTGTCCAAATCCGCCTCCCTCACCCTTGACAAGCGGCTGGGACCCAGGAGGGTGGAATCAGGATCCAGGCACATCTTCATCACCAGGAAGGCCTTCAGCTCCAGGAGCGGCTTCTGTTTAGGGCAGTGTTTCTATAAAAGCTTACAAGGCTCCCCCAGCCTGTGGCCCGTGTGTAACAGTCGCCCCTCCGCTGGGAGCAGGTACAGGGTGTGCAGAGGCCCCCGGGGCAGCCCCAGTGTGGGTCCTTGT